TTTTTTGGGGGCAAAGGACTGGGAGAATCTCAATTGCATACTCCTCGCCTCGTTCCCAAAACCCATTGGATGAGAAAGCCAGAGTTCCCTCTGACCTCCTCCTCCAATAGGTTTTGAGGGCGAGGAGAGAGGATGTGAAGAGTATGCAATTGAGAGAACTAGCCAACACACTGGTAGACGCAGGGAGAATCTACCGGTGTCGCTCTCGCCTGCTGTGTACCGGAGTCCTGCTAGCTAGCACACAGTGTCCTTCGCTACCGCCTGCTGTGTACCGGAGTCCTGCTAGCTAGCACACAGTGTCCTTCGCTACCACCTGCTGTGTACCGGAGTCCTGCTAGCTAGCACACAGTGTCCTTCGCTACCGCCTGTTGTGTACCGGAGTCCTGCTAGCTAGCACACAGTGTCTTTTGCTACCGCCTGCCGAACACCTGCCCTCGCCGTCGTTAACAGAACTGCGGAAAAACAATGCCCGACAGGCGGGAATGAAATACACTGTCTACCGGTGTGCTCGCTAGCTACCTATCCCACCCACTGTGTACCGCCGGAGTCCTAGCCGTGTCCTTCGCTCCCTCCTGGCGAACACCTGCCCTCGCCATCGTTGGCTGGACTTAGCTAAAGATCTCTACATTACTCCTACTTCATATAAACTTCAGTTTGAGGTTCCTAGAGTCTCCATAGAGCTAAGTAAATCTGCTTTTGGTTTTAATGCACCGTATTGCTGGAACAAAATTCAAAATACATTTCATCTTGATATTCTGGTGCAGTTCAGGAAATTTAAAGTATTGCTTGGGGATTTATTGGTGTACCAGAGTCCTTGCTTAAAAATTGACCAATAGAAGTTTAAAGAGGGTTTCCTGTAGATGCAGGAGTGCCCCAAATTGCGGCCTACAATTGCACCCTTTTCAAAATATTTGCGATACGTATAATGTTTTTATGATTTAAAGGCACAACTAGGGATATTTCCTTCAGATCAATGATCATTTTTGTAATCATACTCAATGGTTCTAGTATTTCTTAGCCTAGTAAATGGCCCATGAGTTTAGAACAACTTTCCCATCCTATCATAACCCAAAATGTATAAACTTGTATAGGCCCTTCAAATCCACTCTGGACCTCAAGGCCAGTTCCACGAGAAGGGGTTAGCTGCATCCCAATATGGCGACCGGCGTATGGGCGAGTGGGTGTGTCGAAAGGAAAGTAGTGGGCGTGTGGAAAGGAGTTGGCGTGTTGAAGCGCTCTGCTATAGGTTAGACGGTTTGATTGAACTGTGTTTATTCCCCTTCCATTTCTTACCACACAACTATACTGTGAGAGTTTTGACTTCTGTTTTTAATCCAGTGTCTGAGTCGTATTTCACTATTAGTTTTACACAAATAATTGTAAATGTTCAGTTATAAAACTGACAATTTATTTTTCATTAAAAGTATTTATGATGGGTGTACTGTTACTTAATGCGTGTGCTTACTGTGACTATCACCCTGATATTGGCTACTAGGTAGCTACTTCCCACGCCTTTGCCAGGCAGTAGTGCTTGTCAAGCAGGCGCGAAGGGCACTGTGTCCCGGTATTGCCATTCATGCCCACCCCATTGAGTAGTAGACTGTATGTAGGCTATGTATCAAGGTGACATCTAGATGGTTATCAATATTAGTTATTTCTTGTGTAGGCTGCTATCCTATTTGAAATAAAATCGTGTGAGAGAAATAAATGGCCATGTTAGCTACCGCCGGTGACACGACTGTGATACCCAGTAGGAAGCACTTCAAGTCGGCAGGCAGGCCGATACAACACCGGTGCACAGGTCGCCGGCTTATCGACTCGTACAGCCCAATCAGACACACAAAACGTTCTTGAGTGGCAACAAATCTGCCCAATTAGCTGATTGGCTTTCCATACACCCACTCCTTCCGACTCCCACTCGTCCATACTCCGGTCGCCATATTGGGCTGCAGCTACCAATACTTGAGTTCCACTGATTAGAGGGGAACAATGAAAAAATGCAGACACTGATTTAGACCTTGGACACCAGGTGGATACAATTAATTATCAGGTAGAACAGAAAACCATCAGGCTCCGGACCTCATAGGGTGAATACCCCTGGTGTAGGCTATGAATTTGATAGTGGTTACATTTGCCAAGTCCAATCCCTGAGCTTTATGACCAAGTAGTGGGATTACATTTGGTCTGAAACACAAACTCTGGATTGTGCATGGGTGCCATAAAAGATAGCATGATACGTGTATTTGTTTCAGGTCATTCACCTAAATTATTACCCTGTGCAGTGCAACACATAATTGACAGAGAAATCACAACAATCGCAACATGTCCTCTCAATGTCTTACACACGCATTTGCACTGCTGATGTAGGCTATTTCGTGTTTGACTACTGTGGAAAACTATTAGCATTACTGAAACCAGTATGCCTATTTTGAGAACTCTCCGACTATGTTTAGTCATAGCCTATGATTTTCTATATTGATCATGTTTGCAGTTGCACACCCCATATCAAAGAGACTTTTGGCTAGCTCAGGGGTCTCCAACCTTTTTCTAGCATGAGAGCTACTTTAAAAATAATTACTTGTCTTTTTTAAATAGCTTTTAAATAGGCACATTCTTCTCTACCCTGCAACTCGTCCTTGGTGTACAAGATATGTCAATATTCCTGGTAAAATAATGGTTAATAAACAGTATTTGGCATGACAGACAGTTTTCTTTGTTTTATTTTTCCTGGTTTAGATTTGTTCTGTTTTTTACTCTCAATAGAACAATTAGTCATAGAGAAACAACGAAAATTGATTTTCTGAGTCTATGTCGATGCTTAAATCAGAAGACAATTATTTGTCTGGGGAAAAAACGAATATGTTTGGATATTCAAACTCCTTTAATTGCGCATCTAGCAAGAGGGGAATGTGTCGGTCTAGCGATGTTTCTGTTAGGCCTACTGCTGCAGCACATGTCATGATATTTAGCTGACTCCATGACAGTAGCTAAAGCAAATGGCTATAGCAGCACACAAGTAGCCTGCAAATGCATGCTGGGCCGGGCATGCCCTGCGCTCCTAAATTGAGCAGAAATGGAGCGGGCGAGAAGGCCAACCCTCCAGCCTTTGGAAAATTCACAATGTGCTCCAGTCAAACTGGGGATGCTCCGCTCACATACTCTGATCATGATATAGTTATGTCAGGTAAGCCTACTTTGCAGTTAACGTTTAACTGAGAAGGTTATTGGGGAAAGCATTTGTCTACCCACAAGACTGTTGTCATTAGCATCGCTAACTGGCTACATGGAGTAATAAACAAATGCGTGCAAACAGACCAGGGCAATATTGATGGAAATTAATTGGCAGATGGGTTATGTTACGTTTGGCTTTTTAAGCAAATAGTGGCTAACCACGGGTGGGATAATGTCAATGTGGCTTTGATTGGATAGTATTGCCGGGAGCTGTATGTTTTTGACAGTTTGCGATGGAATAAATGAAAAAATGCACGTACTTTCAGAATTGCTTGGCGAGCACTCATAGGTGGGCTGCGAGGTAGCTCACGATCTACCTGTTGGAGACCCCTGTAGGCTACCCATTCTGTTTTATCTTCCAACTGATCACAGAGACACCTTTTCATTGGTTGTCTCTTATCTCTATGCAGATCAGTCAATGTTTCTTCCTGTTCTAGACTATGCTGACATCATTTAGATGAATGCAGCTGCCACTTCTTTGAGGCCGTTAGATGAAGTTTTCCATAGTGCACTTAGTTTTATCACCGGTGACAGGTTTTGCACTAATCGCTGTTTGCTCTATCGGAAAGTAGGTTGGCCCTCATTGATGTTGCGTAGGTTGAAACATAGCATTTTATTCATTTATTAAGCCCTATTGCAAAAACTCTCACATTACCTGACATCTTTACTTACCCATAGAAGTACATGTTACCATACCCGATCACAGGGATGTTTAACTCTGTAAATTCCGTCTGTTGCTACCTTTAGTTGCTATCACATTTACATTTTAGTCATTTATGCACCCCATGTATGGACACATTGGTGCCTCTCGGGCGGTTCAAAATGTTGATCAAGGACCACTTTGCTGTGGAATATGAGTGTCTGTAATTCTGTGTTCTCTTGTATTTTATATTAATATATTGTAAAATTGCAAAATACAGTGCTCCCTTGAGAAAGAGACCTTGATCTCAATGGGACTCCCTGTATAAATACATACAAATTCTTATCTGCAGCTGATCGTTGCAAAGAAGTGCATCAAATCCGTGACCAGCACCCCAACAAAATCCCAGTAAGTTACCCTGACATTGCCCTCTATAGAACATAGTCGTGTCCAAAATGATTGGTGCCTTTGATAAAGATGAGCAAAAAAAGACTGTATAAAATAAATAATACAAATACTGAGGTATATTGTATGCTTTAAAAAAAAGGGGGAAATTACATTATTTTATACTAATACAATTTCTCAGAGAAAGAGATTTTGTTTGACAAGTAATACGTAAAAAAAAAAAAAAAAGTGTTGTGGTCAATTATTGGCACCCCTGTTTTCATTAACTTTCAATACCTCACTTTGCGAGGATAACGACACTGAGCCGTTTTCTAAAATGTTTTATGAGATTGGAGAACGCATTGGGAGGGATCTTAGACCATTCCTCCGTACAGAATCTTTATTTTATACTGTATGCTTTGCTCATCTTTATCAAGGGTGCCAATAATTGTGGACCTGACTACATTTATTTGCCCTAATCACCACACACAATACACTTGTCTGTGTGTAGAATTCAGTTGTCTGGCTATTGTTCCTGAAAGCTCTTTTCATATATCAGTAAATTGATTACAGTAAGAGCCTTTCTTGATGTAGTTCACATGATACTCAGACATGCCCACTGCAATTGTCTTGAGTTGTTCAAGGTTGCTCGCAGAGCATTTTGAAGAAGTGGAAGGCTATAGCCAGGAAGCACACTGAATGCTATCTTTTTCGATTAGTATATGGAATATATAAGCCAAAGTGAATGAAGGTTGTGATTAAATATTAATCCAACATATATAATATATAGGGTCTTTAATATATGTGATGTAATATAGTCAGTATTCATTGGTGTTATGATGATGGAATTACATATTATAACCGTTTATCATTGCTTGGTGCTCCCCTACAGGTAATCATTGAGCGGTATAAGGGAGAGAAGCAGCTGCCTGTGTTGGACAAGACAAAGTTTCTTGTCCCAGACCATGTCAACATGAGCGAGTTAGTGAAAATAATCAGGTAAGACCATTGAGTCATGACATAATGAGGTTTGGATTTGATGACATGATGGTAGTCAATGGGCAACAGAGTCATGGTCACGAAAACCCAGAGTGTCCCATTAGGCAATCGCTTGGTTGCCTCACACCTCGAACCTGAATGTCTATTTACGGTGAGATCATTTCAACACCTTAAACACTTTGCCTTTCTCTCCCATAATGTAAAGCAGTGTACTGACTGTTCAATTAGTGTGTCCTTTAGTCGGCGCATTCTCTCAAAGTCTGGAAGGGAACTGCGTATGTGCCTGTATCCCCAGTCTCATGTAGACGAGATTGTTTACTTGTCTGGAGTGTGTCACCCAGAGAGGGGGGCGAGCCACATTGTGCCAAGAATTGGTGCACACACTGACCCTGACTTCTGCTGGCAACACTCTTAAACACTCTAGCACCAAAATACACTCTGTTATCATTGGGAGAGACTCTCTTCCTGTCTTGTGCTTGTCTCTTCATATTACAGCCATATCATTGACGTGGGGAGAGAGGGGGTAGACCTTAACTGTTGCAGCACTGCTCTGTGTGGCACCGACTATTGCAGAAAAATACTTAACTAAACCTATGCCATGTTGTGTAGTGTAAATAGTAACAAATTAGTCATTTTACAGTTTCCATGTTGAGTTGTTTAGTAGTCTCTAGACAGACGGGTTGCCTCCCACAATGTACCATTGAGCACAGTTACCTGCACACAATAATACGATTTTTGTCAAACAATTGTTTTACCATTTCCTGCATTCTACACTTTCTTTAAAGGGGGTATCCATATTTATGAACATAGCAATTTTACTAAGGTTCTGCCACAATAAATTATATTGAACTCGAGTACTTGAATTTAAAAAAAGTATATTTTTATAACACACAAAAAAAAAATTGCGCATTTATCTAGGCCTAAATGCCAACAATGTGCAACAAGGCCACATTTTTCATAACCATTACAGATAACAAATCCTAATTGCTAAATTGCCACATGCATTGCATTCGGAAAGTATCCAGACCCCTTGACCTTTTCCACATTTTGTTACGTTACAGCCTTATTCTAAAATTGATTTTTTTTTTTTACTCCCCTCATCAATCTACACACCATACCCCATAATGACAAAGCGAAAACAGGTTTTTAGAAAATGTTTGCTAATTTATAAAAAAAATAATACTAAAATAGCTTATTTACATGAGTATTCATACCCTTTGCTAGGAGACTCGAAATTGATCATCCTTGAGATGTTTCTTCAACTTGATTGGAGTCCACCTGTGGTAAATTCAATTGATTGGACATTATTTGGAAAGGCACACATCTGTCTGTATAATGTCCCACAGTTGACAGGGCGGCAGGTAGCTTAGTGGTTAAGAGCACAGTGCCAGTAACCGAAAGGTCGCTGGTTCTAATCCCCGAGCCGACTAGGTGAAAAATCTGTCGATGTGCCCTTGAGCAAGGCACTTAACCCTAATTGCTCCTGTAAGTCGCTCTGGATAAGAGCGTCTGCTAAATGACAAAATAAAAATAAAAATAAAAAAATAAAAAATGTCAGCGCAAAAACCAAGCCGTGAGGTCAAAGGAGTTGCCCATAGAGCTTCAAAACAGGATTGTGGGAGGGCACAGATCTGGGGAAGGGTACCAAAAAAATTCTGCAGCATTGAAGGTCCCCTGAAAACAGTGGCCTCCATCATTCTTAAATGGAAGAAGTTTGGAACCACCAATACTCTTCCTAGAGCTGGCCACCTGACCTGACCAAACTGAGCAATCGGGGGAGAAGGGCCTTGGTCAGGGAGGTGGAAGGGCCTTGGCCAGAGCTCCTCTGTGGAGATGGGAGAACCTTCCAGAAGGACAACCATCTCTGCAGCACTCCACCATTCAGAACTTTATGGTAGTGGCCCGACGGAAGCCACTCTTCAGTAAAAGGCAAATGACAGCCCGCTTGGAGTTTGCCAAAAGGCACCTAAAGGACTATGAGAAACAAAATTCTCTGGTCTGATGAAACCAAGATTGAACTCTTTGGCCTGAATGCCAAGTGTCATGTCTGGAGGAAACCTGGCCCCATCCTTACGTTGAAGCATGGTGGTGGTGGCAGCATCATGCTGTGGGGATGTTTTTCAGCGGCATGGACCGGAAGACTAGTCAAGATCGAGGGAAAGATGAACGGAGCAAAGTACGGAGAGATCCTTGATGAAAACCTGCTCCAGAGCGCTCAGGACCTCAGACTGGGGCGATGGTTCACCTTCCAACAGGACAACGACCCTAAGCACACAGCCAAGACAATGCAAGAGTGGCTTCGGGACAAGTGTCTGAATGTCCTTGAGTGGCCCAGCCAGAGCCCAGACTTGAACCCGATCGACCATCTCTGGAGAGACTTGAAAATGACTGTGCAGTAACGCTCCCCATCCAACCTGACAGAGCTTGAGAGGATCTGCAGAGAAGAATGGGAGAAACTCCCCAAAGACAGGTGTGCCAAGCTTGTAGCGTCATACCCAAGAAGACTCGAGGCTGTAAGCGCTGCCAAAGGTGCTTCAACAAAGTACTGAGTAAAGGGTCTGAATACTTATGTAAATGTGATATTTCAGTTTTGTATTTGTAATACATTTACAAACATTTCTAAAAACCTGTTTTTGCTATGTCATTTAAGGGGTATTGTGTGTACATTTGATGAGGGGAAAAAAACGATTTAATCAATTTCGCTGTAACGTAACAAAATGTGGAAAAAGTCAAGGGGTCTGAATACTTTCCGAATGATACACCCATCTAGTACCGGATCAGACCACCCTTTGCATCCAGAACAGCCTGAATTCTTCAGGACATGGATTCTACAAGGTGTCGGAAACGTTCCACAGGGATGTTGGTCCATGCTGACGCTATGGCATCACGCAGTTGCTGCAGATTGGACGGTGGTAGATTCATGCTGCGAATAGCCCATTCCATCTCATCCCAATTGGTATCAAGGGACCAGGAACGTGTGCCAGGAAAACATTCCCAATTCCCATTTTTAGCTGATAGGAGTGGAACTCGGTGTCGTCGTCTGCTGCAATAGCCCATCCGTGACAAGGATTAACGAGTTGTGCGTTCTGAGATGCCGTTCCGGGAAACCACTGTTGTACTGAGCCGTTATTTGTCTGTTTGTGGTCCGCTTGCATGATTCTTGCCATTCTCCTTCGAGCTCTCTCATCAACGAGCTGTTTTCGCCCACAACACTGCCGCTGACTGGATGTTTTTGGTTTGTTGCACCATTCTCAGTAAACCTTAGACAATGTTGTGTGTGTGAAAAGCCCAGGACGGCGGCCGTTTCAGAGATACTGGATCCGGCATGCCTGGCATCGACGATCATACCACATTCAAAGGTCACTCATTTTGCCCACTCGAACGTTCAATCGAACAGTAACTGGATGCCTGTCTGCCTGCTTTGTATAGCAAGCCACGGCTATATGACTCACTGTATGTAGGAGCGATCCATTTTCGTGAAAGGGGTGATTCAGTCAATAAAAAATAAGTGCCATTTAAGATTGATTTATTGAAACCGTAATAATATATCGTGGCACACAATCTTCAAAAAGCCAGTAACCTCAGCAGCGGAGCTTGCTTGTAGAAGCCTATGGCTGTGCAATGGCATGGCCTTGTTTTATTAATTTAGCAAACAAGATGTTCTTATTTCCAGAGGCCGTATCACAGTCAAGACGCACCTGTTTTATAGTAAGAAACATAATGTAATATAACAGAATAAAATATAACAATCTTTTTCCAAATGAAAAGTTTGCAGTGCATAGTGATGCGCAATCTAGTGTCTGGTATAGTTATTCTCAAATAGTGATAATTTGAAACTTGGCTCAATTTGGCGAGTTCAAAGACAAATTTTTTCAGGGTTTGTATTTGTATTTATTATGGATCCCCATTAGCTGCTGCCAAGGCAGCAACTACTCTTCCTGGGGTCCAGCAGAATTAAGGCAGTTATACAATTTTAAAAACATTACAATAAATTCATAACAGATTTCACTACACACTAAGTGTGTGTCCTCAGGCCCCTACTCCACTACCACATATCTACAACACAAAATCCATGTGTGTGTGTGTATGCATGTGTTGCTTCACAGTTCCCGCTGTTCCATAAGTAAAACTGACTATCCTACCGATCCTTGACTTCGGCGATGTCATTTACAAAATAGCCTCCAACACTCTACTTAGCAAATTGGATGTAGTCTATCACAGTGCCATCCGTTTTGTCTCCAAAGCCCCATACACTACCCACCACTGTGACCTGTACGCTCTTGTTGGCTGGTCCTCACTACATGTTCGTCGTCAAACCCACTGGCTCCAGGCCATCTATAAATCACTGCTAGGCAAATCCCCGCCTTATCTTAGCTCATTGGTCACCATAGCAGCACCCACCCGTAGTCTGCGCTCCAGCAGGTATATCTCACTGGTCATTCCCAAAGCCAACACCTCCTTTGGCCGCCATTCCTTCCAGTTCTCTGCTGCCAATGACTGGAACGAATTGCAAAAATCTCTGAAGCTGGAGACTCTTATCTCCCTCAATAACTTTAAACATCAGTTGTCAGAGCACCTTACCGATCACTGCACCTGTACACAGCCCATCTGAAATTAGCCCACCCAACTACCTCATCCCTATATTGTTATTTATTTTGCTCTTTTGCACCCCAGTATCTCTATTTGCACATAATCTCTTGCACATCTAGCATTCCAGTGTTAATACTATTGTAACTATTTTGCACTATAGCCTATTTATTGCCTTACCTCCATAACTTGCTACATTTGCACACACTGTATATATATTTTCTGTTGTATTTTTGACTTTATGTTTTTTACCCCATATGTAACTCTGTGTTGTTTTTATTGCACTGCTTTGCTTTATCTTGGCCAGGTCGCAGTTGTAAATGAGAACCTGTTCTCAACTGGCTTACCTGGTTAAATAAAGGTGAAATAAAATAAAAATAAAAATAAGGTGTATTTTTTAATCAGTTTTTTAAATCGGATTCTGCTGCTTGCATCAGTTACCTGATGTGGAATAGAGTTCCATGTAGTCATGGCTCTATGTAGTACTGTGTGCCTCCCATAGTCTGTTCTGGACTTGGACTGTGAAGAGACCTCTGGTGGCATGTCTTGTGGGGTATGCATGGGTGTCTGAGCTGTGTGTTAGTTATTTAAACAGATAGCTCGGTGCTTTCAACATACCTCTCACAAATACAAGTAGTGATGAAGTCAGTCGCTCCTCCACTTTGAGCCTGGAGAGATTGACATGCATTGGGTTACAAACCCAAATCTGTCTTTATGATATACAGACGTTCAATTTAGTTTAATCTGCCTGTTCTTTCGAATTTTCTAAATGAACAATTCCACATTGAACACTGCATGGTGATGAATTACAGCAACATCTGTTTGGTGAGTAAGCTTAGGCTTAAAAAATACTCTTGATCAAACTAATGTTTTGGCATATTTTCAGTGTGGAAAGCTGTTTTATGGGGGTTATAGCCTAGCCCGAGGCTAACCAATTCTAAATGGAACTAGCAGTTCACAAAGTAGGCTAAGCGGAAAATGGACGGGACGCAATTATTCCAAAACTGCAGCTTGTTGTTGGAACACACATTGTCCTACTTCAATCAACCAGTCCATTTTGAATTTCTGATGAAACTGTCGTCATTTGGCAAGTAATGTAACTTGTGTGTCCCATCAGTTAAGTTTTGATAGGCATGTATTTCTGTAGGCCTAATGTGAGCTTGTGTGTGCACTCAGGATGCGGGTGTAGAGGGAGCGGTCGGATTGCAATTGAGTGAGAGACATGGAGGGGAAAGGGAATTTGGGGAGAGAACTGCGTGATGCGTGGCTTAGTTTCTTTTTTGTTGAGCCCCGCAAATGCACATGTAGGTCGCTAACATATTGGCAAAATTATTTGTTAAAATTATTTTAACATATTGAACCATGCATATAGCCTATTCATGGTCTACACTGAGTGCGCTTTCCATGACCAAGAACTGCAACGATGCTGGGTTTTTCATTCTCAACAGTTTCCTTTGTGTGTATCAAGAATGGTCCTCCAGCCAACTGTGGGAGGCGTTGGAGTCAACATGGGCCATGAGTCGACTGTGGAAGGCTTTTGACACCTTGTATAGTCCTTTCACCGACGAATTGAGGCTGTTCTGAAGGCAAGGGGGTGGTGCAACTCAATATTAGGAAGGTGTTTTGTACACTCAGTGTATATTATCATGTATGCTATTAGCAATAAGCATTATCACCTGTAGCCCAGCTTATGCAGACTTTAACCAGGGAGACTTAAAACCATTCTACCGCACTTCTACCAACACGTCTCCTGCGCCACTAGGTGCGCTAAAACTCAACCACTTTTATTCTACCCACAGAAACGCATATAAGGCCCTCCCTTGTCCTCCCTTCTTCAAATCTGACCACGACTCTATTCTCCTGTTTCCTGTTTACAAACAAAAGATCAAACCGGAAGTACCAGTGACGCGCTCAGTACGGAAGTGCTCCTATGAAGCAGATGGAAGGCTACAATACTTTTTTGCTAATACAGACTGGGATATGTTCCGGGATTCATCCAATAGCATTGAGGAGTTTACCACATCAGTCACAGGCTTCATCAATAAGTGCATAGACGACGTTGTCCCTAAAGTGAGTACACAAACCAGAAACCATGGATTACAGTATCCGCGCTGGGCTAAAGGCTAGAGCTACCGCTTACAAGGAATGGGACCCGGAAGTGGACGCATGCAAGAAAACCCGCTACGACCTCCGAGACATAAAACATGCAAAAAGACAATATAAAAGGGAGGTGGAATCCTATTACACTGGCTCCAACGCTCGTCCAACGCTCGTCCAAGTCAAAAAGTGCAGTCGTTTTGAGACCTTCCTCACTGACTGCTCCACGTGTCTCACCACTGAGGTTAGAGTCTAGATAAAAACCAAGATACTTGGTTGTTGTTACCACTGGTATTTCCTGTCCTAGGATTAGTGGTGCAGGTTGTGGATGGTCTCTAGAAAAACATATCCTCCAAACCCATGGAAGTGTCCTCTTGGATGCTGGGTAATGGTATGGCTCGGGACAGCCCTACATCATCTGCATACCCAGTGTCACTGAAGACAACTTTTCGGGTGGACATGTGAAGGATAAACAGATGGTGAAGCCACGCCCCCTTGTGGCACACCAAGGTGACCTCTGACCAAGGGCTAAATGTGCCATTTGCCATCATCCTCTGCCTTCTTACGGTGGTATAGCTGTGGAGCCAGGCTAGTAACCTTGGACACTGCTTAAAGTGGTCCTATGGACAGATACTCCAATCTCCGCTGTGGAGCTTTGCAGCTCCTTCAGGGTTATCTTTGGTCTATTTGTTGCCTCTGATTAATGCCCTCCTTGCCTGGTCCGTGAGTTTTGGTGGGCGGCCCTCTCTTGGCAGGTTTGTTGTGGTGCCATATTCTTTCAATTTTTTAATAATGGATTTAATGGTGCTCCGTGGGATGTTCAAAGTTTCGGATATTTCTTTGTAACCCAACCCTAATCTGTACTTCTCCACAACTTTGTCCCTGACCTGTTTGGAGAGCTCCTTGGTCTTCATGGTGCCGCTTGCTTGGTGGTGCCCCTTGCTTGGTGGTGCCCCTTGCTTAGTGGTTTGCAGACTCTGGGGCCTTTCAGGACAGGTGTGTGTGTGTGTGTGTGTATATATATATATATATACTGAGATCATGTGACACTTAGATTGCACACAGGTGGACTTTATTTAACTAATTATGTGACTTTTGAAGGTAATTGGTTGCACCAGATCTTATTTAGGGGCTTCATAGCAAAGGGGGTGAATACATATGCACGCACCACTTTTCCGTTATTCATTTTTTTTTTAAACAAGTTATTTTTTTCATTTCACTTCACCAATTTGGACAATTTTGTGTATGTCCATTACATGAAATACAAAAAATCCATTTAAATTACAAGTTGTAATGAAACAAAATAGGAAAAACGCCAAGGGGGATGAATACTTTTGCAAGGCACTGTAATTTACATTAACAATTTTACAGCTTTTGGCAGCGATTACAGCATTGTGTCTTTCTGGTTAAGTCTCTAAGTGCTTTCCACACCTGGATTGTGCAACATTTGCCTATTTTATTTTTTTCAGAATTCTTCAAGCTCTGTCAACTTGGTGGTTGATCATTGCTAGACAACTATTCTCAGGTCTTGCCATAGATTTTCAAATAGATTTCAAATAAATAGAAGTCAAAACTCCCAGTGTCTGGTGGAAAGCAGACTGAACCAGGTTTTCCTCTAGGATTTTGCCTCTGCTTAGCTCCATTCTGTTTTATTTTTATCCTGAAAAACTCCCCCAGTCCTTAACAATTACTGCACACTCATGACATGATCGTAATTTTCGGTGCAACCTGTCCACCCGAAATGAAAAGCAGCCACTGCTGTCGGAAGTCTTCGTTCTTCGGAAAATAGTGTGACGTTAAATTAACACAATGGCATCCAGTCACAACAGTGTGCTTTTACCGGCATGCTGGTAAGGAGCTTGCCAGCTAAAAGTCACAACACAGATGAAAAGGGGTAGTTATCAGTATCGTTTTGCCACGTTCTGCTTGAGCTATTTTACGGTTTGTAAGCAAAGGCGTTTGATGCGCACATTTGATGACAGTTTTAAGGCATTACATTACATGAACTGAAATCAGAAGATTTCAGAAATTTTCCATACGCACAAAAAATGTGTTTCTCACAAATGTTGTGCACAAATGTGTTTACATCCCTGTTTGTGAGCATTTCTCTGTTGCCAAGATAATCCATCCACCTGACAGGTGTGGCATATCAATAAGCTGATTAAACAGCATGATCATTACACAGGTGCACCTTGTGCTGGGGACAATAAAAGGCCACTCTAAAATGTGCAGTTTTGTCACACAACACAATGCCACAGATGTCTCAAGTTTTGAGGGAGCGTGCATTTGGCATGCTGACTGCAAGAATGTCCAGCAGAGTTGTTGTCAGAGAGTGTATTGGTAATTTCTCTACCGTAAGCTGCCTCCGTCATTTTAGAGAATTTGGCAGTACTTCCAACTGGCCTCACAACTGCAGACCACGATTAACCATGCCAGCCCAGGACCTCCACATCCGGCTTCTTCACCTGCGGGATCGTCTGAGACCAGCCACCCGGAGAGCTGATGAAACTGTGGGTTTGCACAACCGAAGAATTTCTGCACAAACTGTCAGAAACCGTCTCATGGAAGCTCATCTGCGTGCTCGTTGTCCTCACCAAGGTATTGACCTGACTGCAGTTTGCCGTCGTAACTGACTTCAGTGGGCAAATGCTCACCTTCGATGGCCACTGGCACGCTGGAGAAGTGTTTCAACTGTACCGGGTAGATTGCAGTATGGCATCGTTTGGGCGAGTGGTTTGCTGATGTCAACGTTGTGAACAGAGTGCCCCATGGTGGCGGTGGGTTTATGGTATGGGCAGGCATAAGCTGTGGTCAACGAACACAATTGCATTTTATCAATGGCAATTTGAATGCACAGAGATACCGTGACGCGATCCTGAGGCCCATTGTCGTACCATTCATCCGCCGCCATCACCTCATGTTTCAGCATGATTATGCACGGCCCCATGTCGCAAGGATCTGTGCATAATTCCTGGAAGCTGAAAATGTCCCAGTTTTCCATGGCTTGCATACTCACCAGACATGTCACCCATTGATCATTTTTTGGGATGCTCTGGATCAAATTGTATGACTGTGTTCCAGTTCCCGCCATTATCCAGGAACTTCGCACAGCAATTGAAGAGGAGTGGGACAACATTCCACAGGCCACAATCAACAGCCTGATCAACTCAATAGATTAGGGCCTAAATTATTTATTTCAATTGACTGGGTGCCAATAATTCTAACCTGTATCTTTTTAAGAAAATAAATATTTATTGTTCTCTGAGCAATTGTATTAGTATAAAAATGGAATTTTCCAAATGTTTTGAACATACACTATAGTTCAGTATTTGTATTTATGTTGGTCTTTTTTGCTGATCTTTATCAAGGCTGCCATAATTTCGGACCTCACTGTAGTGCCTTCAGAAAGTATTTACACCCCTTGACTATTTCCACATTTTGTTGTGTTACAGACCGAATTTAAAATGTATTAAATTGAGATTTTGTCACAGGCATACCCTCAATACCCCATAATGTCAATGTGGAGTTGTTTTTTGACATTTTTAAAAATGAAAAGCTGAGGGCCTCTGAGTGGCGCAGCGGTCTAAGGCACTGTATTGCAGTAGTAGAGGAGTTACTACAGACCCGTGTTCATTCCCGGGCTGTGCCACAACCGGCTGTGGCCGGGAGTCCCACAGGACGGCGCACAATTGGCCCAGCATTGTCCAGGTTAGGGGAGGGTTTGGCCGGGGGGGCTTTACTTAGCTCATCGCGCCATAGCGACTCCTTGTGGCGGGCCAGGTGCCTGCAGGCTGACCCCGGTCGCCAGGTGAACGGTGTTTCCTCCGACACATTGGTGCGGCTGGCTTCCGGGTTAAGCTGGCGGGTGTTAAGGAGCGCGGCTAGGCGTTTTATGTTTTGGAGGACGCATGTCTCTCCCGAGCCCGTTGGGCAGTTGCATTGATGAGACAAGATCGAAATTGGGGAGAAAAAGTTTTTTTTTCCAATACTGAAATATCTTTAGTCACTAAGTATTCAACCCCTATATGGCAAGCCTAAATACACTGAACAAAAATATAAACGCAACATGAAACAATTTGAAAATATTTTTGTGAGTTAATAAGGAAATCAGTCAATTGAAATAAATTAATTAGGCCCTAATCGATGGATTTCACATAACTGGGAATACCTTTTTAAAAAAGGTAGTGGTGTGGATCAGAAAACCAGTCAGTATCTGGGGTGACCACTATTTGCCTCATGCAGCATAGAGTTGATCAGGCGGTTGATTGTGGCCTGTGGAATGTTGTCCCACTCTTCAATGGCTGTGCAAAGTTTCTGGATATTGGCGGGAACTCGAACACAGCTGGTCTGAGACGATCCCGTAAGTGAAGAAGCTTGATGTAGAGATCCTGGGCTGGCATAGTTACACGTGGTCTGCGGTTGTGAAGCCAGTTGGACGCACTGCCAAATTCTCTAAAATGACGTTGGTAGAGAAATGAACATTCAATTCTCTCACAACAGCTCTGGTGGACATTCCTGCAGTCATAATGCCAATTGCACGCTCCCTCAACTTGAGACATCTGTGGCGTTGTTGTGTGACACAATTGCTCATTTTAGTGGCACAAGGTGCACCTGTGTAATGATCATGCTGTTTTAATCAGCTTCTTGATATGCCACACCTGTCAGGTGGATGGATTATTTTGGCAAAGGAGAAATGCTCACTAAAGGGATGTAAACAAATTTGTGCACAAAATTTGAGAGAAATAAGGTTTTTGTACGTATGGAAAATTTCTGGGATCTTTTTTTATTTCAACTCATGAAACATGGGACCAACATGTTACATGTTGTGTTCATATTTTTGTTCAATATAGTAAAATCAGGTTTGTTTCAATATAATTCTAACTTTTGTTTAGCAGTGTTATGGACTCGAGTCACGACATGGAACTTGAGTGTGACTCGAGTCACATTTGATGACTTGAGCCTCGATTAGAAAATGAAATGACTTGACTTGGAGCCTCAAGACTCGGGACTCGACTGACATGAGACTGATGACTTGAAATTATCTGGCCAGGTTTTGTAATGTTTTGTCGCTTTGTGGTACAGCGTCTCAATGGATTACTCTCCACGCAGCCAGACAGTTGCCGTAGCATCGCCCTTCCAAAATAAACGTCCAACAGATTGGCTAGTGAAACACACACTCGGCCCTCTGATTGGAACAGCAAACTGTCATCCAACACAGATCGGGTGAGCTAGCGAACAGATTGCTGATTTGCTGTACAGCTATAGGATCGGGTACAGTACAAACGTCATTGTAGGGAGAGGGGATTGCCATAATAAATAAATATGCAGCTCCAAAAATGGATTGGTGATCAAGAATATTAACTATTTTCTTTGCCAACTCACCAGCAATGGGGCACCAAGCAACAATTACTAGCATATGCCTACTGTTCTTTTGGTATGTCAAAATTGCTTGAAATAATAATTAATAATTAATTTGCTTATGAAGCTTGCGTTTGAAATTTGAAATTAATTATTACTTTGGCGAAGACGCACCATAGGCACGTTTCTTCACTTGCGCTCTCCAAACTCCCGCCAGTGGAGAGTGCTTTGTTCTCTTGTTGAAATGTTTGCTGTTGTTTTTCACACGTGTAAATGCATATGTGGTAAATCTATATTCCCTCTAATCCTACAATAATTGCTAGCATTTCATCCGTAAACCGTTTATTGCAACTTAGACATTTCTGAGTAAGTTTATTTAATTAAATGTATGGTTTCCTTTGTTCATATTTCCCGGGTTATGTCGGAGTGCTGTGTGTCTGTGTCCTATGTCTCTGTCATTCTGGTTGTGCGTAATAGGAGTGTGCAAGCCTCCGTGTGCATAGAAATAGGCTTTGTGGCCTGCGCGCCACGCTTTGGCGTCAGTACATCGAATAAGAGAAAATTGTTCCATGTGAAGAAATGTCATTAATAATCATTAAGTCTGATTAAGACGAATGTAACAATGGATGTGGAAATTGCCTTTTTATATTGAAGAACCAGTTTATTGGTTGTAATTGCCAATTGGGTAATTGTATGGTCCTGGGAGGGGAGAAGTGCTTATATGTACCTGTTTGAGCTCCTGTTAGACAGATTTGGTTTTTCAAGGGGAGGCTGTGCAGTCTTGCTCTCTACCTGTGTCCATTCAGATAGGACAGGTTACAGGGATAGTTCACCTAGATTACAAAATGACACATTGGTTTCCAGTCTATGGATAATGTATGATAGCAATTCATCCTTTGGTTTAGTTTCCATGGCACTGTTTCTAACGTTTTAGCATTTGTGGCACAAATCCCATTCAAGTAATGGGAGCGATATTAGAAATGTTTGCGCATCATGTACAAATCATCAAAGGATCTCAAATTGACTGTGAATCTCAGTCACTTATAGATTATTTGAACATGATGCTCGAAAAATGCTAATATCGGTCCCATGACTTGAATGGGATCTGTGCCACAAATGCTAAAACGTTAGCATGTGAAAACAGTCCCAGGGAAACCAAACCAAAGCATGGATTGCTGTCATACCCTGTCCATAGACTGCTTACAGGTTAAGGAAACAATATTTTATTTTGAAATTTGGTGGAACTATCACTTTAAGCCTGATACAGAGGCTTCTTTTAGGCAATTGCCTGTGTATATTTTGTATGTTATGGCACTTTCACCATTGGATCACCAAGACCTGTAAATAAATCTACACTGAGCACGTCAACTTGCCTTGCTTTGTGCTGATTTCATGCCCGTTTTCATGCCCGTTGTCCTTATTTTACAATTACATAATCAAAATGTGTTGTAGACAAAATAATAAAGGGCTGTCTGGTAGCCTCAGTAAATAGACAAATATTTGTAGTTGAACTCAAGACTCAAGACCGTTCTATTTGGGACTCGACTTGAGACTCTGACCTTTTGACTTGACTTTCTTGTGACTCGAACAATAGTGACTTGGTCCCACCTCCTTTGTTCAGTCTGTTACACAAACTAACAATCACGGTACCTATAATTTTAATTCAGTGCATCTATTGCTAATTGTTGAATCCTCAATAAAGCGATGCCCTGATGCTTGTTATTGACCCGCTGCTTTAAGGTAGACATTTAATCTGATGCCAATTATAGTAATGCTATTTGTGGGGTTGTAAACTTGCTTGCATGAAATGCTTGCCTCTACTCAGAATAAACAACCCTGCAACACCTCCAGGTGGTTCAAGCTAAAAGATGGGTCATATTCATTAGGCACCAAATGGACTGAAACAGGGAAGGACTACCTGTACTTGTTGAATAACAACTGCTTGTTTTCATTTTACTACAGTGTGCCCTAATGATTGTGACCATGGTTTAGTGACCAGCCCTGACCCCCAGTATCCCCATTCCCTTCCAGGCGCCGGCTGCAGCTCAACCCCACGCAGGCCTTCTTCCTCCTGGTCAACCAGCACAGCATGGTGAGCGTCTCCACGCCCATCTCCGAGATCTACGAGCAGGAGCACGACGAGGACGGCTTTCTCTACATGGTTTACGCCTCTCAGGAGACCTTTGGCTGCTAGGGAGAGAGGGAAGTCTGGTCAAAGAGAGAAGGGTGAGATAGAGGGAGGCACGGGGGTACAGAGGCGAGGTTGGGTAGAGTTAGGTCTCACCCAGCTGTGTTTTTTTTCTGTCTTGCCCCCCCCCCTGGATAATTTGAGTTCCCTTAAGGGTAATTAAACAGACAACACCACGTCTTTTCATGACACTAGTAGTTAAACAGGAACGCTATGTGCAACATCCCCTTCCTCTTTCCCCCCCCTTATTAAAACTACCATCCCCGGTGGAAGTACATTTATATTAGTCTTTTTTTCTTTAGCCATAGGCTAGTGATCTTTGCCCCTTTGGTTTTGATTTTATAGTTTATTATTTTATCTCTAACTGGGACCTGGTTTTTCAGATAGAGTAGAACTTTGTTAGTGTTTTGTTTTTAGGTTTTCATTGTCTGTGTTTTATAACATACCTTTCTACTTAAGTGGTCATAGGTGTTATTGCCTAAACCAATGGTTTGTGTCTTGAGTTTTCCCCAATATTGACACAGCTTACCCACCGGTACATGTGTCTATTTGCCAACAGTGGAAGTGAATTAACTACACAACAAGACATGCAATTGCTCTACCATAGGCTAAGCCTAAATCTGCTAGAGCATAGGGTAATTTAGGTTGTTCTCCGCTCTCTCTCCATTTTCAAGTACTGTTTTAATAATCAATCAGATGAATCAAATGAGTTTGTGTGTCACCTTTGAATGGTAAGTAGTCTTTGATAGCTGACTGGCTCCATGAGCAAGATGACCATCCGTACAGTCATATAACAGGTAATGTTGGGAATGTGTGTTGTGATATAGGCTAGTGCTTAGAATTGAGTAGTGGAAACTGATGTATAACGTAGAAATAAATACGCTTCTTTGCACATATACGTTTATACTATTATAATAAGTATTGAATAGAAATAAATGACTGTATAACACCTTTTATTCTTTTTGTATCTGATATTATGTCCTTTAGAACACTGTTCTGTACGTATGCCTTTGGTAAAATGACATTTGAAACTATGGGTTTGTGATGCACTACCTTGCATGTTTTTCAGTTTAATTTTTTTTTATATATAGATTTACGCAATAGATATAATTATTTTAAGTTTATTAAAACATTTCTTTTTAGAATTGTTTCCAAACCAAAAACTGAAATAAGTGTATATGTATGTTTGAAACACAATTGTGTGTGTATAAACCATAAAAAATAATCAATAGTTGTGTGTTCATTTAAATTCCTCAATTGTAACTAATTCAAGGAGTATAGCATCACTTCAAATTAGTTTTAAGCATTCGCTAATAAAGCAATTAGGAAATTACATTAATGGTTCTAGTAGTAGTTAACAGGTGTCAATGTTCAGTACAAATTAGGGACAAACAATACCAGCCTTCATATTACTGATAATCTGGGCAGATGTAGAAATTAGCATAAAAGCAGCACCATAACCAGGGGCGGATTGTATGGTGAGCAGTCAGTCAAAATAATTGAAACTGGAGGTGCGCCAGTGTGTTTATGCTTGTTGAAAGTAAATTCCGATGGATATCAGACTTTTTGTTTGTTATGCTATATGGACATTCACTATCATTGCCAAGAATGCATTTTGTCCCAAATGTCAATATTGGTGCATCTCTTTGTGTCCTTAGGTTTTTTGAAAGACTCTTTAAATCCCATGTATTATTATGTGTATACTCGCTAATTGCTTGGTGTTAAGGATTGTGCTACATGTATAGGTAACAAGGTACATACAATGAGTGCACAAAACATTAGGAACACCTGCTCTTTCCATGACAGACTGAAAAGGTGAAAGCTATGATCCCTTATTGATGTCACTTGTTAAATCCACTTCAATCAGTGTAGATGAAGGGGAGGAGACCGGTAAAACAATATATTTTTAAGCCTGGAGACAATTGAGACATGGATTGTGTATGTGTGCCATTCAGAGGGTGAATGGGCAAGACAAATGATTGAAGTGCCTTTGAACGGGGTATGGTAGTAGGTGCCAGACGCACCGGTTTGTGTGTCAAGAACTGTAACGCTTCTGGGTTTTTCACACTCAACAGTTTCCCCTGTGTATCAAGAATGGTCCACCACCCAAAGGACATCGAGCCAACTTGACACAACTGTGGGAAGCATTGGAGTCAACATGGGCTGCTAGCTATACCTATGGAACACTTTTGTAGAGTGCATGCCCCGGCCAATTTAAGCTGTATTGGGAGTAAAAGTGGGTGCAACTCAATATTAGGAAGGTGTTTATAATGTTTTTACACTCTGTGTATAATATACTGTATAGTGCTCAGGTAATTCTTCCCATTCCTACTATTTCATAGCGTTATCATCATACTGCTACAGCTAACCATGTTCCCAGCCTTATCTTGTGACCATAAAGTTGAAATCCACTGTTAGCTTTTACTGTTAGCCCAATTGGGAAGCCCACTGTGCTAAGCTTGTCCAGTGCTAATACTTCAGATACCATAAATATGGATAACCCAGCTGTTTTCAAATTGTGTAGAGGGCTTGGGCTGCGTGGTTTCCGTTAGCCGGCAATTGCCGGCTTTTGGCCAAAAAACAACAAATGGAAAAGCCGATTAACAATACAACTGTTGCCGACCAGAATGACCTGGAGAAAAATAAAATCCCATTGCAAACTAATGCTTTTTATTCATTGATGGAAATACCAGTCAATAGAAATCCATTTGACCGTCATGGTTATCGGTCTATAGGTTCATTTGTATAATTTATTGGAAATAAATTGACCTGTATTTTCCTTATCATGTATCTTATTTATCAAACAAAACTATCACAGCGCACAGCATACAGAGGCTATTTTGAGCAGGATTTCTCATGCAGCTCCTCACCTGGTTGCTTCTGGAGTAAAACGTGCTTTTATACACCCATTCATTGCTCAACAATTCTAAATGCAATCACATATTAAAAAACTGTTTTGGTGCAAGATTAAACATAGCTATTTTTATTTCTCAACTGGTAATTGAAGTGGGTATCCCATTCACCATTCAAGTGCAGGCAACAGGCTATCAGCGCGTCACCCACCACTTTACAATGTGAGCTGGAGGCAGAATGCATTTTGAAAACATACTTAATTGTTTGAAACCTTAATGTTTTATTTCATATTATGATGTCTTACCTTGCTTCAAAGTAGCCTATAGGCAAAATCCGAACATGGAAAGGTGGAGGCAATTATTTTATAAAAGACTTCATAGGCGGCGCGTGAGTTTCAAGTTTGGGGAAGCTTACAATTTATCCTAAGATTTATACGGTTCTGCGTGCCAGTTATGATTTTCATATGCGTGTTTTCGTGGAACAGTTTCATTTCAATAATAACGTTTCAGGCAAATGATGATTTTAAAACAATTAAAGCTTAATGGCTGTGATAGGAGAAAACTAACGATGGATTATCATTGTAATTACTCCACAATACTAACCTACAGTGGGGGAAAAAAGTATTTAGTCAGCCACCAATTGTGCAAGTTCTCCCACTTAAAAAGATGAGAGAGGCCTGTAATTTTCATCATAGGTACACATCAACTATGACAGACAAAATGAGGGGAAAAAAATCCAGAAAATCACATTGTAGGATTTTTTATGAATTTATTTGCAAATTATGGTGGAAAATAAGTATTTGGTCAATAACAAAAGTTTCTCAAGACTTTGTTATATACCCTTTGTTGGCAATGACAGGTCTTCACAAGGTTTTCACACACTGTTGCTGGTATTTTGGCCCATTCCTCCATGCAGATCTCCTCTAGAACAGTGATGTTTTGGGGCTGTCGCTGGGCAACACAGACTTTCAACTCCCTCCAAAGATTTTCTATGGGGTTGAGATCTGGAGACTGGCTAGGCCACTCCAGGACCTTGAAATGCTTCTTACGAAGCCACTCCTTCGTTGCCCGGGCAGTGTGTTTGGGATCATTGTCATGCTGAAAGACCCAGCCACGTTTCATCTTCAATGCCCTTGCTGATGGAAGGAGGTTTTCACTCAAAATCTCACGATACATGGCCCCATTCATTCTTTCCTTTACACGGATCAGTCGTCCTGGTCCCTTTGCAGAAAAACAGCCCCAAAGCATGATGTTTCCACCCCCATGCTTCACAGTAGGTATGGTGTTCTTTGGATGCAACTCAGCATTCTTTGTCCTCCAAACACGACGAGTTGAGTTTTTACCAAAAAGTTCTATTTTGGTTTCATCTGACCATATGACATTCTCCCAATCCTCTTCTGGATCATCCAAATGCACTCTAGCAAACTTCAGACGGGCCTGGACATGTACTGTCTTAAGCAGGGGGACACGTCTGGCACTGCAGGATTTGAGTCCCTGGCGGCGTAGTGTGTTACTGATGGTAGGCTTTGTTACTTTGGTCCCAGCTCTCTGCAGGTCATTCACTAGGTCCCTGGGATTTTTGCTCACCGTTCTTGTGATCATTTTGACCCCACGGGGTGAGATCTTGCGTGGAGCCCCAGATCGAGGGAGATTATCAGTGGTCTTGTATGTCTTTCATTTCCTAATAATTGCTCCCACAGTTGATTTCTTCAAACCAAGCTGCTTACCTATTGCAGATTCAGTCTTCCCAGCCTGGTGCAGGTCTACAATTTTGTTTCTGGTGTCCTTTGACAGCTCTTTGGTCTTGGCCATAGTGGAGTTTGGAGTGTGACTGAGGTTGTGGACAGGTGTCTTTTATAATGATAAGTTCAAACAGGTGCCATTAATACAGGTAACGAGTGGAGGACAGAGGAGCCTCTTAAAGAAGAAGTTACAGGTCTGTGAGAGCCAGAAATCTTGCTTGTTTGTTGGTGACCAAATACTTATTTTCCACCATAATTTGCAAATAAATTCATAAAAAATCCTACAATGTGATTTTCTGGATTTTTTTTCTCTCAAATTTGTCTGTCATAGTTGACGTGTACCTATGATGAAAATTACAGGCCTCTCTCATCTTAAGTGGGAGAACTTGCACAATTGGTGGCTGACTAAATACTTTTTTTCCCCACTGTAGGTGGACAGGGGAGAGTAAAAAAAACAACCTTTATCAAACTGTATCACTGATTCAGCGCAACTTCCAATTGAGCTGACATACGCAGCGTTTACCGTGAATGCGGTCTCCGCAATTTTTGAAACATTGCCTTTAAAATTTCAAATCATGCCAGCATGATGATCTTCAGTGCTACCGATTGAATCCAGCCCTAAAATAATGTCTCTTCACTCAAAAGTTTGACCACAACCGCAAGGTCTCATTCAAACTCAAGGTAAGAAAATCAAAGTTAATTTGAGGATTAGCAACAGATTGTGACACAAATACATGGTTTTACTGGGTAATCCGTTTATTGTACATTGCAAAAATCAGCAGGGATTATCCCCACATCTCAACCACTGTAATGTAATTGGCAGACAGACTTAATGTACATTTTCCACTTCACATATGGAACATTAACATTACTAGTTTCCCACAGCATGGAAACCATCTTTTAACGCCAGCTTCAAATGGTTAAAATCGAGGAACTAAAACCTGCCATTCAAATTTAACATTTTATGATGCTGTTTTACAGAAAAATCACCATTTAAATTTAAAAAACCATACATGGTCATTGTACAAAGTTAAAGAAATTCTCCGGTACTTTTGTATACTTTTTAGCCAGTAGTTATGAAAGTAGCACTTACTTGCCAAAAGTGGCCCCTGAAAATTGCATACTACGTCACATATGTGCAGATATACAGTGCATTCAGACCATGACTTTTGTGACATTGTTAACTTTACAGCCTTATTCTAAAATGGATGAATTTTTTTTATTATTTTTTATATATATATATATATATATATATATATAAAGCGTATTTACATAAGTATTCAGACCCTTTGCTATGAGACTCGAAATTGAGCTCAGTTGCATCCTGTTTCCATTGATCATCCTTGAGATGTTTCTACAACTTGATTGGAGTCCACCTGTGGTGAACATGATTTGGAAAGGCACACACCTGTCTATATAAAGGTCCCACAGTTGACAGTGTATGTCAGAGCAAAAACCAAGCCATGAGGTTGAAGGAATTGTCCATAGAGCTCTGAGACAGGACTGTGTTGAGACAGATCTGGAGAAGGGTACCAAAAAATGTCTGCAGCATTGAAGGTCCGTAAGAACATAGTGGCCTCCATTAATCTTAAATGAAAGAAGTTTGGAACCTGCAAGAATCTTCCTAGAGCTGGCCGCCCCGCCATACTGAGCAATCGGGTTTGGGAGGTAATGGTCACTCTGACAGAGCTCCAGAGTTCCTCTGTGGAGATTGGAGAAACTTCCAGAAGGACAACCATCTCTGCAGCACTCCACCAACCAGGCCTTTATGGTAGAGTGGCCAGACGGAAGCCACTCCTCAGTAAAAGGCACATGACAGCCCGCTTGGAGTTTGCCAAAAGGCACCTAAGGACTCTCAGACCATGAGAAACAAGATTCTCTGGTCTGATGAAACCAAGATTGAACTCTTTGGCCTGAATGCCAAGCGTCACGTCTGGAGGAAACCTGGCACCATCCCAACAGTGAAGCATGATGGTGGGAGCATCATGCTGTGGGGATGTTTTTCAGCGGCAGGGTCTGGGAGACTAGTCAGGATCGAGGGAAAGATGAACGGAGCAAAGTACAGAGAGAGATCCTTGATGAAAACCTGCTCTAGAGCACTCAGGACCTCGGACTGGGGCGAAGGATCACCTTCCTACAGGACAACGACCCTAAGCACACAGCCAAGACAATGCAGGAGTGGCTTCAGGAAAAGTCTCAATGTCCTTGAGTGGCCCAGCCAGAGCCTGGACTTGAACATCTCTGGAGAGACCTGAAAATAGCTGTGTAGCAACTCTCCCCATCCAACCTGACAGAGCTTGAGAGGATCTGCAGAGGAGAATGGGAGAAACTTCCAAAATACAGGTGTGCAAAGCTTGTAGCGTCATACCCAAGAAGACTCGAGGCTGTAATCGCTGCCAAAGGTGCCTCAACAAAGTACTGAGTAAAGGGTCCTAATACTTACGTAAATGTGATATAGATTGATGATGGAGAAAAAAAAAACAACTTAATCCAGGCTGTAACGTAACAAAATGTTAAATACTGAATACTTTTAGATTGCACTGTATTTCCATGACAAGTTACATATCACGTCATTGCACTCTCTTCGCTGTTTCTGCCCTTCCACCTCATTGGATAACGCTGGGCAGGCCTCTTGCTTGCCGTCACTCAAATGAGAGGGGCTGATGCTCATTGGCTAGAACTCGAATTGCTAGGGTACTGGCCCAGGTGGGGGTAAATGTAAGGAAAATGGCGCAGCACACCTTCAAGAAAACAGTCGCTTTCAAACTAGGGATTTCGTGGCTAATTGAGGTAAGACAGTAATTCTTCTCATATATTATGCATGTACAAACTACACATTGACACATCCAGCCCAAAGCGGGAGGTTTAAAAAATAATTTCTTAGGTCGCCAAAGTACCGGAGCATGTCTTTAAGGAATTATGAAGTCTAGCATTGATATCCCATAAATCTCCAATGCAAAACGTGGAACGTGTTAACCATATCAGATGACAGCAAGTGTTCTGCACCTGTTTTTCAGAGATGGCTTAAACCTTTCATTCAAGGCGGAATGGCATCTTATGTGAGGCTGGAAAAGAGAAATAATGTCATATTAGAAATGGTGCTGTAGCAGTATAACGTCAAAGATTCCAGTAAGTATCTATCAGCATCTTAACGTTATTTTAGAACTTCCCATTGAAAAACAATATCCCAAGTATAAATACAGTAATGTATACACACTTAAGAGTAACTGACACTTTTACCTACTGTGCAGAAATGAAACAAACCGATAATAATATCTGTCATAATCTGTCCAAAATATCAAATTTGTCATTTATGCTTCAAAACAAACTTGAGGTTTTAAAAATAGGTTATATTTGACAAATAATTCCATTATGTGTATAGCAAGGCATTGTTGGCAGAATTATACGGATGCAGTCAATGCATGATTAATAAAATTCACCAATAAATCGCTAGGTAGTCTAATAAATATTGCTATCAGGTTGTACATCACAGCTAGTACATTTTTTGCTGCCTCCAGCCATTCAGACGATGCACCGTTTCAGTTTCACTCACTCAATATTTGACAAAAACCGACGAAAAAAAGCAGTAATTGGGAATCTCAACAGTCTAGCTATGCAGTACGTGACTAAGACTATAGCTCAGGAGTTCCCAACCTAGGGGGCGCCAACGTTTCGTGGGGTGGGACCTTCCTTGATTTGAGTGGCAAACATTCGTTTTTTTACAGTTTGATTGTTTATACCCATCTAAAACAAAGCATAAATATGTGATGCTTTATGCTAGAAACAAGCGATAAAATGCCAGAGGAAGACGCGACTGATGCACATGGAAATATCTTTGATTTGTCTCCATGCCATTCAGAAGCTGAGCTACGACCTTCTCTAGAAGGAGCCAAAGAAATTGGACTGGGAAGTAATCTTATACAATGTGTGACTGTCGCTATCAAATCACTTTCTGTAAAAGAGAATATGCATAATTATATTGAGGGTTCATATAAAGTATCATAAAACATATGGTAGCAGAATAACATTTGGGGAAATCGGGTCGAGACTTCCTTATCCATTATTATCATCATTAACTAGTCTACCCAAAAGATGTCATGAGTCTTGTTAAACTACGTAAAATTGCAGGAAATGAGCTTCAAAACATTTTCTTAGGTCCCTCAAATTAAACAAATTCAAGCTGGTGTTTTATTTAATATCAGTAGGGTGTTAGGTGACACGACAAACAGCTCTGTAGCTCAGCTGGTAGAGCACGGCGCTTGTAACGCCAAGGTAGTGGGTTCGATCCCCGGGACCACCCATACACAAAAAAAAAAAAATGTATGCATGCATGACTGTAAGTCGCTTTGGATAAAAGCGTCTGCTAAATGGCATGGCATATTATAAACAATGGAAGCTATGCTGGAAGCTATGCGGGAAGCTATGCGGGAATCCCCCCCCCCCCCCCCCAAAAAAACGCTGTTTTCACTAAATGTCAATGTGGTTGTCAATATACATAAAGATTTTTTTTTTAAGTGGCAGTTTCCCATTTCTAAAAATCCCAATACTGGTATGATATTTATGCAATATGAGCCCAAATGTTAAACAAGTGCTGCGCAAAGAACATTAAAATCTGTGGAACAGCCCTTTTTGTGAAACCGGCGGTCTTCATATTTGCTCTTTGCGATGGGTATTCCTCAACCTTTCAGTAAGATGGATGTGACACTGTATTGCCAAGAAGTATGGGAGGGTATGGGAAAGTCCTGAGGGTGTTTCACGGTCATCGGACATCTTTTGACTGAAATTATTCAGATGTTTTCAGAGACACTAAATAAAACAAAACATAGCAGGTTACAAAGTAAAGCTTCGTAGCTACGTTTTGATGTATGGGTTGTCAGGGATTGGTCCACATTCACGTTTCACAGTCAGTATCTGGTGTGACCACCATTTGTCTCATGCAGCGCGACATCTCCTTCGCATAGAGTTGATCAGGCTGTTGATAGTGGCTTGTGGAACGCTCTCCCACTCCTCTTCAATGGTTGTGCGAAGTTGCTGGATATTGTCGGGAACTGGAACGCGGTGTCGTACACGTCGATCCAGAGCATCCCAAACGTGGTCAATGGTTGACATGTCTGGTGAGTATGCAGGCCATGGAAGAACTGGGACAGTTTTCAGCTTCCAGGAATTGTGTACAGATCCTTGCGACATGGGGCCATGCATTATCATGCTGAAACATGAGGTGATGGTGGCGGATGAATGGCAGGACAATGGGCCTCAGGATCATCACGGTATCTTTGTGCATACAAATTGCCATAGATAAAATGCAATAGTGTTCATTGTCCGTAGCTTATGCCTCTAAAACGAGGTTGGAGGCGGCTTATGGTAGAGAAATGAACATTCACTTCTCTGGCAAAAGCTCTGGTGGTCATTCCTGCAGTCAGCATGCCAATTGCACGCTCCCTCAAAACTTGAGACATCTGTGGCATTGTGTTGCGTGACAAAACTGCACATTTTAGAGTGGCCTTTTATTGTCCCGAGCACAAGGTGCACCTGTGTAATGATCATGCTGTTTAATCAGCTTCTTGATATACCATTCCTGTCAGGTGGATGGATTATCTTGGCAAATGAGAAATGCTCATTAACAGGGATGTAAACAAATTTGAGAGAAATAAGCTTTTTGTGCAATATGGAACATTTCTGGGATCTTATATTTCAGCTCATGGAAGATGGGACCAACATTTTACATGTTGCGTTTATATTTCTGTTCAGTGTAGAATTTTCACAAATTCCAGACTCTACATCATTTCCAAACATTCTATGAATTTATGTAAACATGAAAAGTAGCACATTATGTGCTTACTGGTCATAAAATGTGTCATTCTTCCCGAGGGTGTATATCAGGGATACTCAACTACTATTTGAGAAGGTCCGGTCACACAACTTTCCTAGGTGGCAAAGTTCCCGGATGGATATTGTAATTTATCGGCGTAGTAACAAACCCCCACCTCGCAACCCTCACCCCTCTTGTTGGCGAGAGAACATTTTGCCATTTTAAAGCTAATTTCCTGCGATTCTACATATTTTGCCATGTCTTGTGTGTTCATATGATACCCGAGTGACTCAACAAACTCAAAATGGGGGCTCACTTGGGGTCGAGGCCCCTGGACACGTAATCTGGCTATGATAACTACAAGATTTAGATAGGTAAGTTAGGCTAACCAGCTATCTAGTTAACATTGATTAGTATCAAATCAAATTTTATTGGTCACATGCGCCGAATACAACAGGTGCAGACATTACAGTGAAATGCTTACTTACAGCCCTTAACCAACAGTGCATTTATTTTTAACAAAAAAAGTTAAAATAAAACAACAAAAAAAGTGTTGAGAAAAAAAAGAGCAGAAGTAAAATAAAATAACAGTAGGGAGGCTATATATACAGGGGGGTACCGGTGCAGAGTCAATGTGCGGGGGCACCGGCTAGTTGAAGTAATATGTACATGTGGGTAGAGTTAAAGTGACTATGCATAAATAATTAACAGAGTAGCAGCAGCGTAAAAAGGATGGGGTGGGGGGGGCAGTGCAAATAGTCCGGGTAGCCATGATTAGCTGTTCAGGAGTCTTATGGCTTGGGGGTAGAAGCTGTTGAGAAGTATTTTGGACCTAGACTTGGCACTCCGGTACCGCTTGCCGTGCGGTAGCAGAGAGAACAGTCTATGACTAGGGTGGCTGGAGTCTTTGACAATTTTGAGGGCCTTCCTCTGACACCGCCTGGTAGTAGTTGATCAACTGGACATTTCTGATAGCTCTCTAAGGTCTGTCAGTGAATGACAGAGGAAAACTGCCCACGCACTACCAAATTTCAAAATCGCACCTTGTTTATTGTACTATTACAGTCAACGGCATTGACCCCGTTCTGGGTCCCGATCCGGACCGCGGTCCGCCTGTTGAGTATGGCTAGTGTATATGAACAATTTGTATGTGATTTAATGGTGCTAAAACGGTGACAGTTCCTCTTTAAGTGTAAAAAAGCAAAATAGTTTTTCTTACACTTATCTGCGCATTCAAAAAAACCAACAGCCTACAAAAGGTGATTTGTTACGTCATCGGCCGCAACCACCCCTGTAGGGCAGGGGTTCCCAAAAATGTTTGGCCCACAACCCCATTTTGATATCAGAAAATGTTCATGTGATCAAAGGTCATGAAGTTGACTGCAAGTTTCTGCAGCTCCTCAAAAACTTCAAAGTGCAGCCATCGCCTGCATTGTGGGAGGCTCCATTGTCAACCAATCATTAGGGCGTTTTTGTTTGACCCACACGAACGTGACCAAAGATGTGACTGAAACAGGAACCGACTTTGCCACAATTAATGTATACAATGAATATATACATTGTACAATGTAGGATACACACATATGATTTCAGTTTGTTAGTCTGTGGTATGGAGGTTAGAGATATATATTTTATATATAATTACACAAAAACTCTTAAACAATGGCACTACTTTGACACTGCCATGTTGATCTGAGCCTTGCCATTTGAAAAGCACAACAGTGGCCGACTTTCAGCTGTCGCAGATGCACCTCCCCCGACTTCACTCATCGACTTTCGTCTAGTCGGCTGCATTCGCCAAACAACTCGAGCACCCTCATTGTCAGGTAAATCACATGATAAGAGGTGAAAAGGAGGCTGTATGGCAACTTTAATAGCCTACTCAGAACATAGACTGAGTCAAGTGTTGAACGTGAGCAAATCGCTCATGATTTTATGAAAGTCGGATGGTGAAAAAAGTAGGATCTCTAAACGGATGAAAGCAGGGGCCTCAAACATACAGCCCACGGGCCAAATGCCGCTTCAACAACTAAAAGCCACGCGCTGTGACATAAGACGACTATGCATTACAAACGGATGGAGTGGCTATGCCTGTTTCTTGGGCTCAATCTTAACCCTACCTTTCCTTTCATACAGATTTTTTTTAGTGGAAAAGGGAAATGAAGCAACCTCTGAATGACGATGCCTAAAACTTGTGAGTTTCTCATGGTGTCAGAAATGATCACTCACCTGTCAATTAGAGAGTATCTCATTGTGGTAGCGATGGCGCTGGGCTGAGCCTCGCTCAGTCTGAACACACTCTCGATGACAGACAGCTCTGTGCTGGTGGTGTCCAGCCCAGTGAAGGCACACCAGTCGTTTACCACCATCCCTGCGGCGATGACCTCGCTACCACGGTTCACTGTTCCAGCCTGTGGAGGGGCCAGAGAGGAGGAGAATTGGGAACGACTCAAGAACTCAGCACCAACTTCATGCAACGTGCCCCCCTGGGCACTTAAGTAGATAAAAAAACAAAAACAATATGGAGAAATGTCCACTTAGCCTATCATAGGACAAGGTAGATCTATTACCACATTGCTTATATGTATCAGATTGATTCAGATCTACATGAGCCTTGCAGTCGGGGCTAAGGACGATGTACAAATGAGCATAAGCAGCATCACTCACCACCAGAGGCACTTGGAGTAGGGAGGAGAGCTCATCCTGGTCTTCTATGGATGTCTTGGGGTGTACCAGTCCCCCCTGATTGCTGAAGGCACAGTAGCTCCCCACTAGAACTTGCTCTGCTACTGTCTGCCGGAACACCTCCACCTTCAGACTGTCTGCCAGGATCTCCTCAGTCTCCTAAACAAACATGGGAAGTGTGTCAACGTCCCCTACATCAGACAATGTACTAGGGATGACCATAAAAATCTATTGTGTTCAAGTACACATTAAAATAATTCAGAGGACTCCAATGTTAGTGTTTTAAAATGTGAAATGGGGCTGGCTGAAGGGAATAAGTTTGCAGTATGTTCCAATGACTGGTTGTTCCAATACACCTCAAAAACGTAACATTTACATTTTAGTCATTTAGCAGACGCTCTTACCCAGAGCGACTTACAGTTAGTGAGTGCATACATTCTTTTTTCATACTGGCCCCCCGTGGGAATCGAACCCACAACCCTGGCGTTGCAAACGCCATGCTCTACCAACTGAGCTCCATCCCTGCCGGCCATTCCCTCCCCTACCCTGGACGACGCTGGGCCAATTGTGTGCCACCCCTTGGGTAACATATTTGCACGGCACTTGACATATTCCACAAACATCTTAGCGTTTGAAATTGTGACATAAATGTAACCTGCTAAAATAGTTGCATTTGAAAATAAACTTTTGATGTATGAATGAGGTATATAGTAATGATGTTACGTTGGATACCGGATCTCCGAGGCATGCGCCGAAATCGCTAAACAGTGTGCCGATGCCTGTATCACTTTATCAGAATCACGTGATCAATGACGTCCGAGGCTTTGTTTCGCTGAACAACCACGTGATTGGTTTGTTATAAGAGAAAAAGGCTACCCTGCGCACGCGCTACGGTGTGTGGGACGTCATCTATAATAATATGCCTGCTCTCAATTTCTTTGACCAGCAGGTGCCACTAGTGTTGATCAAATCCTAGCATAATGAAGGGCCATGAGTGTGCAAAGAGAGTGCAAAAACAAAACATTTATAAAATACAAGATAATCCGTGTAGCCATGTTGTTAGCTATTAATATAAAACAAAAATATAAAATCGCAACATGCAACAACTTCAAAGAGTTACAGTTCATGTAAGGAAATCAGTCAATTGAAATAAATTCATTACGCCCCTAATCTATGGACTTCACATGACTGGGAATACAGATATGCATCTGTTGGTCACATACCTTTAAAAAAAAAAACTAGGGGGGCCTCCCAAGTGGGTGGGGGGGGGGGGGGGGGGGGGGGGGGGCACTGTTCACAACATTGACGTCAGCAAACCGCTCGTCCACACGACACCACAGTTTGGGAACCACTGACTTAAATGCCATCTGCCCAGCACAGTTGAAACCGGGATTCATCCATGAAGTGCACACTTCTCCAGCGTGCCAGTGGCCATCGAAGGTGAGCATTTGCCTGGTGGTGTCTTTTAATTTTTTTAAGGTCTATGTCCCTAGAGTTGGAAAATGTGTGATAGCAGTGCAGCTTTCTCTGTTATCACTCTTCCTTTCATCCCTCCATCCCATTCCTTTTTCCCCAATGTCAATATACAACAAATTATTGCTCACTTATACCCTTTAAACATATATCATTGGAAAGCTTTGATACACAGCTATCCATCAGACACATTTTCGTAATGTTCAGGTCAACAGGACTTTGACTTCCAGGATACATATCAGAATTACCTGTATACACTTATTTAAAAAGGAAACCGTAGTACATTTTAAAACTAGTTGAACAAATGGGTCTGAAAGGTCATGAAATTACCTTTCAAATTGTATATAATATAACCAATCGCCCATATTGTACAATTGACATTAGAATTTTCAGAAAACAGCAATTCGGACAGCTTTTTGGGCAAATTCTTACCATAAATATAGGCGATTTTTAAACCACAGTTATAGCTAGCTGGTGTTTTCAAAGTTGGTTATATTATATACAGTGGGGAGAACAAGTATTTGATACACTGCCGATTTTGCAGGTTTTCCTACTTACAAAGCATGTAGAGGTCTGTAATTTTTATCATAGGTACACTTCAACTGTGAGAGACGGAATCTAAAACAAAAATCCAGAAAATCACATTGTATGATTTTTAAGTAATTAATTTGCATTTTATTGCATGACATAAGTATTTGATCACCTACCAACCAGTAAGAATTCCAGCTCTCACAGACCTGTTAGTTTTTCTTTAAGAAGCCCTCCTGTTCTCCACTCATTACCTGTATTAACTGCACCTGTTTGAACTCGTTACCTGTATAAAAGACTCCTGTCCACACACTCAATCAAACAGACTCCAACCTCTCCACAATGGCCAAGACCAGAGAGGCTGGGATGGGCTACAGGACAATAGGCAAGCAGCTTGATGAGAAAGGAAACAACTGTTGGCGCAATTATTAGAAAATGGAAGAAGTTCAAGATGACGGTCAATCACCCTCGGTCTGGGGCTCCATGCAAGATCTCACCTCGTGGGGCATCAATGATCATGAGGAAGGTGAGGGATCAGCCCAGAACTACACGGCAGGACCTGGTCAACGACCTGAAGAGAGCTGGGACCACAGTCTCAAAGAAAACCATTAGTAACACACTACGCCGTCATGGATTAAAATCCTGCAGCACACGCAAGGTCCCCCTGCTCAAGCCAGCGCATGTCCAGGCCCGTCTGAAGTTTGCCAATGACCATCTGGATGATCCAGAGGAGGAATGGGAGAAGGTCATGTGGTCTGATGAGACAAAAAATAGAGCTTTTTGGTCTAAACTCCAATCGCCGTGTTTGGAGGAAGAAGAAGGATGAGTACAACCCCAAGAACACCATTCCAACCGTGCAGCATGGAGGTGGAAACATCATTCTTTGGGGATGCTTTTCTGCAAAGGGGACAGGACGACTGCACCGTATTGAGGGGAGGATGGATGGGGCCATGTATCGCGAGATCTTGGCCAACAACCTCCTTCCCTCAGTAAGAGCATTGAAGATGGGTCGTGGCTGGGTCTTCCAGCATGACAACGACCCGAAACACACAGCCAGGGCAACTAAGGAGTGGCTCCGTAAGAAGCATCTCAAGGTCCTGGAGTGGCCTAGCCAGTCTCCAGACCTGAACCCAATAGAAAATCTTTGGAGGGAGCTGAAAGTCTGTATTGCCCAGCGACAGCCCCGAAACCTGAAGGATCTGGAGAAGGTCTGTATGGAGGAGTGGGCCAAAATCCCTGCTGCGGTGTGTGCAAACCTGGTCAAGACCTACAGGAAACGTATGATCTCTGTAATTGCAAACAAAGGTTTCTGTACCAAATATTAAAGTTCTGCTTTTGTGATGTATCAAATACTTATGTCATGCAATAAAATGCAAATGAATTACTTAAAAATCATACAATGTGATTTTCTGGATTTTTGTTTTAGATTCCGTCTCTCACAGTTGAAGTGTACCTATGATAAAAAGTACAGACCTGTACATGCTTTGTAAGTAGGAAAACCTGCAAAATCGGCAGTGTATCAAATACTTGTTCTCCCCACTGTATATAATTTAAAAGGTAATTTCATGACCTTACAGAGCCACTTGTCAAACAAAGTTTAAAACGTATCTGAGTTTCCTTTTTAAACGCAATTTATACGGTAATTATTACTAGCGCGCCCCACAGTTTGGGAACCACTGACTTAAATGCTTACAAAAATACCCCCATTGAAAAACATTTAAAATCAAAAGACACGAGTTGGCATATCAGATTTCAAATAGCCTAATTACACCAGCAAAATTGGTAAGAAGTTAAATAATATGAGAAATAACAGAGATTAGAACACTAATTAGTCTATATTTTAGCCCCTTGTAGGGGATGGGAATTGTTCCGAGTGGCGCAGTGGTCTAAGGCACTGCATCGCAGTGTTAACTGTGCCACCAGAGATCCTGGTTCGAATCCAGGCTCTGTCGCAGCCGGCCGCGACCGGGAGACCCATGGGGCGGCGCACAATTGGCCCAGCGTCGTCCAGGGTAGGGGAGGGAATGGCCGGCAGGGATGTAGCTCAGTTGATAGAGCATGGCGTTTGCAACGCCAGGGTTGTGGGTTTGATTCCCACGGGGGGCCAGTATAAAAAAAAAAAAAAAAAAAAAAAAAAAAAGATCTATTCGCTAACTGTAAGTCGCTCTGGATAAGAGCGTCTGCTAAATGACTAAAATGTAAATGTAAAATGTTCTAATGACTTACATCAGCTATTGTGAAAGACAAAAAAAAATGGAACAGATAAATCTCCTTAAGACAAGATGACATACGCTAAATCTGCCCCTAACACCCAACCCAAATTAACTTTCAATGTATTGTCCCCCCAGACCCACTAGAATCCGTTAGACATTTGGGTTCACAATGTGATTGGGCAAAATAATGTTCCTAATACAGTCAGACCAATCAGGTCACACTACCAAATGCCCTGCTGAACGCTGCCTTTTTCAATGTAACAGCCTAATGAACCTAGTGCTAAATTGCCAATGACCAACTGAGGTGAATAATGTAGCCTATGGATCTAGGCTCATGCAAATGGGGGATTGAATAACTAGTAGCAGGCTATATTAATCACATGCTGTCAGAAGGAAGCACTCTGCGACAGGAGTGACAGCAAATTCATTTGTTGACAATTATGTGTACAAAACAGTGCTACAAGTTGCCGTGCTGCTCTTTTGACAATTGAGTTCATTAACTTTGTTCAGCGGAGAACCAACATGCCTGTCCAGTATGCGCCACTCAAATCGTGAGGGCAATTTCTTTACAAACGCGCATCCAATCGCCTTGGTCCCAGGCCCTTTACTAAACGAATCACAAGTTTCAATCTGCCACGGTTCACAGTGTGGTGGCAGAAAATGGTGGATCTCCCAGGTGAAGCTGCCGAGGTTACAATGCTTATGATGTAGAATTGCAGGCGCATATGCTCCCATTTCAAAGCAATTTGGAGGCACAGTTGAAAGTTAACGCACTGAATTCGAAAATAAAAGCAGTACTTTCTTCAATGTGTGAGAAATAAGTGTGGCGTGTGAAGAGGGTCAAATGCGTGTCTCACGCCCAATGCGTGAGAGTTGGCAGCACTGCAATCATGCATGACAAACGTAAGCGGTATGAGGCAAGTGACAGTTGTTTTTTTCTCACCCTGTCCAGATCAGGATGCACCAGCGCCACATAGTCATTACAGGCTACGACATTCCCCAGTGCTGAGAGCCTCTCCTCTACCCTCTGGATCTTCACCGTGTCTGGAAGACAATTCCTAATGTGCTGCAGCTCCTGGTCCGTGGTGTTGTTGGGCACCAGGAGTCCATGACGATTCCCTGAAGAGCAAACATAGTGTGTAAGTAGTTGAGCAGGGTTCGCTGGGCTAAGTGCAAAAATTGTTTTAAATTTAGCACATTCATCATGACAGTCAATTACCTAAATTATTTTCAGAAAATATAAAGAACATAATTGGTCTTACATAAAGCGTAATTGATTATTCCACTCTCCTGTTGAACTGATGACATTGCTTTGTGTTTCTTTGTGCACTTGCACAAAGCCTAGCTGTTTGACCTTCAACGTTAATCTGTTATACTCACCCACACACATTCTTCCAATTATCCGACATCCTGCTATTGAGGCATGTACAACTGGGATGGTTTCTGACAACTCGCCTTCAAAGACACTGTAATCATAAATTACATGTTACCATGACAGAAATAGAGCCCCACAGCGAAGGTGTCATAATACTCATAAAACCTGGCGGTCAAACAGGGAAATGGTTCCAATCGTTTTTACACCATTCGTTTTCCCCATAGGGGATTTTAGAAACGTAAAATAAGGGCTTACCCTGGCGTGACGTTTTGATAACCATGTTAATCTCTCTCGGACAAGGTGACATTTATCAACATATTCGGCTCTATTTACTCTCAGATTCTAAAATCCTAATTAGCATCAAAGTAGACATCATGCAAAACTACAAATCCCTGCAAGCTCCTGCACGCCATCTCTACTGATAGAGTGGAGGCTTCTGAGTGGAGGACGGCTCATAATAATAGCCGGAACAGAGCAAATGGAATGGCATCAAACACATGGAAACTATGTGTTTGATACCCCGCACATTGACTCTGCAACGGTACCCCCCTGTATATATAGCCTCCCTACTGTCACTTTATTTTACTTCTGCTCTTTTTTTCTCAACACTTTTTTTGTTGTTGTTTTATTCTTACTTTTTTGCTTAAAATAAATGCACTGTTGGTTAAGGGCTGTAAGTAAGCATTTCACTGTAATGTCTGCACCTGTTGTATTCGGCGCATGTGACCAATAAAATTTGATTTGATTTGATTTGATACCATTCCACTCATTCCACTCCAGCCATTACCACGAGCCCATCCTCCCCAATTAAGGTGCCACCAACCTCCTGTGAGCCGATACCTTTGCTAACAGGTATTGTGTCAATTTAAAACTTGCAGTAGACAATTCACAGAATTGTCAATTTAAAGAAATGTAGCCAATTTATTCTTTACTACATTTAGCTAACATTAGATAGTTAATCCAGAAATTCCTACCTTTGCCTCGATTCGGCAGCCTCGTCCAGATAATCATGGCATTTGTAGTTCTTTATGATAGCCACATTAGCATCTAATAAGCATTTCATTTTTGGGAGGTAAATTCAGGTGAATATATTGATAAGTCACCTTGTCCTAGAGAGATTTCTACTGTTATCAAAACGTCATGACAGGGTAAGCCTACACAAAACACAGCCCTTATTTTAAGAGTAAAATCCCCTATGGGAAAAATGAATGGTGGAAAAACAATTGGAACCATTTCCCTGTTTGACCGCTAGGGTATTATGACTTATACTATGGTACTCTATGCTCATTTATAACAACATTCCCTGGAGAAAGCTGACAATACTCTCTGTAAGCTTTCAATACAATACAAATGTACTTGTCCATTTGTTATGGAATTTACTCTTATGCTCTGTTCTCTTGATCAAGCCAGGTGACGTAAATGTGACGTAAATGTGAGTGTCCAACCCAAAGTGCTGTTTCATGAGCGTGACTCAGGAAAAAAAAAGTGTGCTTTGAATGACAATCACCTGTCTTTATCAATGAGAGAAGATCGGAAATGGAAAATATGGTGGCGTATAAATTGTGATTACTTCATGGCGTAAAATTAATTTCATTTAATGGAGCATTTCCTAAATTCCTACGTTCCACATACAACTAGCAATGGGAGTTTAGAAGTCACCGGTGTCTTCCAAGGCGAAAATTAGGGAAGTATCACCAAATCAAGGTTTTAAATGGGCTATCGGATCAACCTCAAGCACAAGCTAGTTAGCGTAGCTATGCCGCTGGAGGTTCGATCTGATCAGCTAGCTAACTACGTCTGGAAGAGAAGCCACATCTCTTACCTGTAGAAGTTCTCTGACCCGCCAATTGCAACTAGACAATATGTGTTTGTTAATTTGGCGAAGCAGCCTATTTCGTTGTTCTTCTCGAAAGATGCCCTGACAGCCATGTTGAAGTTTTACAGTTGACAGAACTTTTCTGAAACAAAATAAAATACCCGTCAAGATGATTACACACTTGCTACTGTTAGCTAACTATCAATGAGTTACTACTAGCCAAGCCAATCTACTCATTAAATAGCTCTAATCTCAGTTAGCCCAATTTGGCAATTTAGCTTATTATAAGATGTAGAGTATCCAACGATGATTATACAACTACAATGGCACATAGCTACAAATATGACAACTACCACCACATTAATTGCAATAAATTACGACGCAATGCATTTGGCTAACGTTAGCAATCTAGCTAGTGGAGTGGAAGTTGCCTCAAATTTACAAGTTGAGTAACGTTAACTGAACACATTTTCCAAGACCACGGGCTGGTTCCCATACATACTACAGTTATAGAGCTACATTTTAATGTTTACCAGATCTGTTTGACAAATCGGATTAGCTATAACAATAACTTTACCTTCTCACGGTTTGTGGCCTCACAGCAAGCGTGGATACCTTATTTTCCCCCACACGTGTTCACTTCCTCGTCAACGTCATGGCGTAGACCCCGACACCCAACGCATGCCTTGTGTTTGGCACTTTCAATGCCGCGTTCAAACTACTGGGAACTCGGAACTCTCCCGACTTCAGTAAGTTCAGGACAACTGGGAAAAATCGTTTTGAACTATTATCCATTTCGGAATTCCAAGTCGGAAACGGGGGTTCTTCCTAGAGCTCTGGCTTTCTGACCTGAAGTATGATTCGATTTATTTGACCATTTTAAAAGACAATACAACCACACAGTACAATGCCATTAAAATCATTGTGGATGACACAAAAAAGTTTTTAAAAACATTTCCATTGTGATCCATTGTGACACAATATTATAACATGAGAACAAAATTAATCTCATCAATAGGGAGGAAACCGTGAAAGGAATAAAATAGATTACTGACGTCTTGCTCCCGGACAAGCTAAACACCTTCTTCGCCCGCTTCGAGTATAACACAGTACCACTGACGTGGCCCGCTCCCAAAGACATTTACATTTTACATTTTAGTCATTTAGCAGACGCTCTTATCCAGAGTGACTTACAGTTAGTGAATACATATTTTTTTTATACTGGCCCCCCGTGGGAATCGAACCCACAACCCTGGCGTTGCAAACGCCATGCTCTATCAACTGAGCTACATCCCTGCCGGCCATTCCCTCCCCTACCCTGGACGACGCTGGGCCAATTGTGCGCCGCCCATGGGCTTTCGTTCTCCGTGGCCGACGTGAGTAAGACATTTAAGCGTGTTAACCCTCGCAAGGCTGCAGGCCCAGACGGCATCCCTAGCCGCGTCCTCAGAGCATGCACAGACCAGCTGGCTGGAGAGTTTGCGGACATATTCAATCTCTCCCTATCCCAGTCTGCTGTCCCCACTTGCTTCAAGATGTCCACCATTGTTCCTGTACCCAAGAAAGCAAAGGTAACTGAACTAAATGACTATTGCCCCGTAGCACTCACTTCTGTTATCATGAACTACTTTGAGAGGCTAGATAAGGATCATCTCATCTCCACATTACCTGACACCTAAGACCCACTCTAATTTGCATACCGCCCCAATAGACCACAGACGTTGCAATCGCACTGCACACTGCCCTACCCCATCTGGACAAGAGGAATACCTATGTAAGAATGCTGTTCATTGACTATAGCTCAGCCTTCAACACCATAGTAACCTCAAGCTCATCATTAAGCTCAGGGCCCTGTGTCTGAACCCCGCCCTGTGCAACTGGGTCCTGGACTTCCTGACGGGCTGCCACCAGGTGGTGAAGGTAGGAAACAACACCTCTACTACGCTGATCCTCAACACAGGGGCCCCACAAGGGTGCGTGCTCAGCCCCCTCCTGTACTCCCTGTTCACCCATGACTGCGTGGCCATGCACACCTCCAACTCAATCATCAAGTTTGCAGACGACACAACAGTAGTGGGCCTGATTACCAACAATGACGAGACAGCCTACAGGGAGGAGGTGAGGGCCCTGGCGGAGTTGTGCCAGGAAAATAACCTCTCACTCAACGTAAAAAAAACGAAGGAGCTGATCGTGGACTTCCGGAGACAGCAGAGGGAGCACTCTTACTCATGAAGGCCGTCAAATTCCACGTGACCGTTTAGTCATGGTAATTAGGCTTCTCCAAGCTCTGATGCTGCTGATGGTCATTAGAAGCCTACCAAACTTGCTAACTGCTGTCACGGATCCCCCCGGTACTGCTGCTCATTCCGTTTACCAGCTCTGGAGGTCTATGTCACCAGCCTTCTAGGCGTCACTGACCTGGTTCATTACCACCAACCCCGGAATGTCTTGTCTCATTACGCACACCTGGATCCCATTCCCCCTGATCAGCATGTGTACAGTCATGGTCAAAAGTTTTGAGAATGACACAAATACTAATTTTCACAGTCTGCTGCCTCAGTTTTGATGATGGCAATTTGCATATACTCCAGAATGTCATGAAGAGTGATCAGATGAATTGCAATTCATTGCAAAGTCCCTCTTTGCCATGAAAATGAACGTAATCCCAAAAAACATTTCCACTGCATTTCAGCCCTGCCACAAAAGGACCAGCTGCCATCATGTCAGTGATTCTCTCGTTAACACAGGTGAGAGTGTTGACGAGGACAAGGCTGGAGATCACTCTGTCGTGCTGATTGAGTTAGAATAACAGACTGGAAGCTTTAAAAGGAGTGTGGTGCTTGAAATCATTGTTCTTCCTCTGTTAACCATGGTTACCTGCAAGGAAACACGTGCCATCATCATTGCTTTGCACAAAAAGGGTTTCACAGGCAAGGATATTGCTGCTAGTAAGATTCTACCTAAATCATCCATTTATCGGATCATCAAGAACTTAAAGGAGAGAGGTTCAATTGTTGTGAAAAAGGCGTCAGGGCGCCCAAGAAAGTCCAGCAAGCGCCAGGACCGTCTCCTAAAGTTGATTCAGCTGCGGGATCGGGGCACCACCAGTGCAGAGCTTGCTCAGGAATGGCAGCAGGCAGGTGTGAGTGCATCTGCATGCACAGTGAGGCGAATACTTTTGGAGGATGGCCTGGTCAAGAAGGGCAGCGAGGAAGCCACTTCTCTCCAGGAAAAACATCAGGGATAGACTGATATTCAGCAAAAGGTACAGGGATTGGACTGCTGAGGACTGGGGTAAAGTCATTTTCTCTGATAAATCCCCTTTCCGGTTGTTTGGGGCATCCGGAAAACACCTTGTCCGTGTAACTGGTGTGAAATGGCTAGCAAGTTAGCGGTGCACACTAGTAGCGTTTCAATCGGTGACGTCACTCGCTCTGAGACCTTGAAGTAGTTGTTTCCCTTGCTCTGCAAGGGCCGTGGCTTTTGTGGAGCGACGGGTAACGGTGCTTCGAGGGTGACTGTTGTTGATGTGTGCAGAGGGTCCCTGGTTCAAGCCCAGGTAGGCGAGGAGAGGGACGGAAGCAACACTGTTACATCCGGAGAAGACAAGGTGAGCGCTACCATCAGTCCTGTGTCATGCCAACAGTAAAGCATCCTGAGACCATTCATTGTGGGGTTGCTTCTCAGCCAAGGGAGTGGGTTTACTCACAATTTTTGCCTAAGAACACAGCCATGAATAAAGAATGGTACCAACACATCCTCCGAGAGCAACTTCTCCCAACCATCCAAGAACAGTTTGGTGACGACCAATGCCTTTTCCAGCGTGATGGAGAACCTTGCCATAAGGCAAAAGTGATAACTAAGTGGCTCTGGGAACAAAATATCAACATTTTGGGTCCATGGCCAGGAAACTCCCCAGACCTTAATCCCATTGAGAACGTGTGGTCGATCCTCAAGAGGCAGGTGGACAAACAAAAACCCACAAATTCTGACAAACTCCAAGCATTGATTATGCAAGAATGGGCTGTCATCAGTCAGGATGTGGCCCAGAAGTTACATTTACATTTACATTTTAGTCATTTAGCAGACGCTCTTATCCAGAGCGACTTACAGTTAGTGAATACATTTTTTTTTTTTTTTTTTTTTTTTTTTTATACTGGCCCCCCGTGGGAATCGAACCCACAACCCTGGCGTTGCAAACGCCATGCTCTATCAACTGAGCTACATCCCTGCCGGCCATTCCCTCCCCTACCCTGGACGACGCTGGGCCAATTGTGCGCCGCCCATGTGTCTCCCGGTCGCGGCCGGCTGCGACAGAGCCTGGATTCGAACCAGGATCTCTAGTGGCACAGTTAGCACTGCGATGCAGTGCCTTAGACCACTGCGCCACTCAGGAGTAAGTTAATTTACAGCGTGCCAGGGCGGATTGCAGAGGTCTTGAAAAAGAAGGGTCAACACTGCAAATGTTGACTCTTTGCATAAACTTAATGTAATTGTCAATAAAAGCCTTTGACACTTATGGAATACTTGTAATTATACTTCAGTATACCATAGTAACATCTGACAAAAATATCTCATAACACTGAAACAGTGAACTTTGTGAAGACCAATACTTGTGTCATTCTCAAAACTTTTGACCACGACTGTATATAAACTCAGCAAAAAAAGAAACGTTCTCTCACTGTCAACTGTGTTTATTTTCAGCAAACTTAACATGTGTAAATATTTGTATAAACATAACAAGATTCAACAACTGAGACGTAAACTGAACAAGTTCCACAGACATGTGACTAAGAGAAACTGAATAATGTTTCCCTGAACAAAGGGGGGGTCAAAATCAAAAGTAACAGAGTCAGTATCTGGTGTGGCCACCAGCTGCATTAAGTACTGCAGTGCATCTCCTCCTCATGGACAGCACCAGATTTGCCAGTTCTTGCTGTGAGATGTTACCCCACTCTTCCACCAAGGCACCTGCAAGTTACATCCCTTAGTTATATACACTGCTCAAAAAAATAATGGGAACACTTAAACAACACATCCTAGATCTGAATGAATGAAATAATCTTATTAAATACTTTTTTCTTTATATAGTTGAATGTGCTGACAACAAAATCACACAAAAATTATCAATGGAAATCAAATTTATCAACCCATGGAGGTCTGGATATGGAGTCATCCTCAAAATTAAAGTGGAAAACCACACTACAGGCTGATCCAACTTTGATGTAATGTCGTTAAAACAAGTCAAAATTAGGCTCAGTAGTGTGTGTGGCCTCCACGTGCCTGTATGACCTCCGTACAACGCCTGGGCATGCTCCTGATGAAGTGGCGGATGGTCTCCTGAGAGATCTCCTCCCAGACCTGGACTAAAGCATCCGCCAACTCCTGGACAGTCTGTGGTGCAACGTGGCGTTGGTGGATGGAGCGAGACATGATGTCCCAGATGTGCTCAATTGGATTCAGGTCTGGGGAACGGGCGGGCCAGTCCATAGCATCAACGCCTTCCTCTTGCAGGAACTGCTGACACACTCCAGCCACATGAGGTCTAGCATTGTCTTGCATTAGGAGGAACCCAGGGCCAACCGCACCAGCATATGGTCTCACAAGGGGTCTGAGGATCTCATCTCGGTACCTAATGGCAGTCAGGCTACCTCCAGCGAGCACATGGAGGGCTGTGCGGCCCCCCAAAGAAATGCCAACCCACACCATGACTGACCCACCGCCAAACCGGTCATGCTGGAGGATGTTGCAGGCAGCAGAACGTTCTCCACGGCGTCTCCAGACTCTGTCACGTCTGTCACATGTGCTCAGTGTGAACCTGCTTTCATCTGTGAAGAGCACAGGGCGCCAGTGACGAATTTGCCAATCTTGGTGTTCTCTGGCAAATGCCAAACGTCCTGCACGGTGTTGGGCTGTAAGCACAACCCCCACCTGTGGACGTCGGGCCCTCATACCACCCTCATGGAGTCTGTTTCTGACCGTTTGAGCAGACACATGCACATTTGTGGCCTGCTGGAGGTCATTTTGCAGGGCTCTGGCAGTGCTCCCCCTGCTCCTCCTTGCACAAAGGCGGAGGTAGCGGTCCTGCTGCTGGGTTGTTGCCCTCCTACGGCCTCCTCCACGTCTCCTGATGTACTGGCCTGTCTCCTGGTAGCGCCTCCATGCTCTGGACACTACTCTAACAGACACAGCACATCTTCTTGCCACAGCTCGCATTGATGTGCCATCCTGGATGAGCTGCACTACCTGAGCCACTTGTGTGGGTTGTAGACTCCATCTCATGCTACCACTAGAGTGAAAGCACCGCCAGCATTCAAAAGTGACCAAAACATCAGCCAGGAAGCATAGGAACTGAGAAGTGGTCTGTGGTCACCACCTGCAGAACCACTTCTTTATTGGGGGTGTCTTGCTAATTGCCTATAATTTCCACCTGTTGTCTATTCCATTTGCACAACAGCATGTGAAATGTATTGTCAATCAGTGTTGCTTCCTAAGTGGACAGTTTGATTTCACAGAAGTGTGATTGACTTGGAGTTACATTGTGTTGTTTAAGTGTTCCCTTTATTTTCTTGAGCAGTGTATATCCGTGTTTGTTTTGAGCTTCGTCCGAGTCGTTTTTCATGACGTACCTTGTGTTGGGTGGAGCAACTAAAAGGACATTGTGTCAGACCGTGGTCCTCAGTTCACCTCACGCTTATGGAAAGCGTTCATTGAAGGCAATCATTGAAGGCAATCATAGTTGCACACCTTATGTAGCCTAGCCCATAGGCCTATATGTTTTGATAAGGTTTGTATCACAACTAAAGTGGCCAAATAACTTCTTAAAATTCAGAAAATTAATTGGCTTTACAAGTGGTGTAACATTTACATTACATTTTAGTCATTTAGCAGACGCTCTTATCCAGAGCGACTTACAGTTAGTGAATACATATTATTTTTTTATACTGGCCCCCCGTGGGAAGCGAACCCACAACCCTGGCGTTGCAAACACCATGCTCTATCAACTGAGCTACATCCCTGCCGGCCATTCCCTCCCCTACCCTGGACGACGCTGGGCCAATTGTGCGCCGCCCATGAGTCTCCCGGTCGCGGCCGGCGGCGACAGAGCCTGGATAGAGTACAGGTAACAACACCCCAGGATATACATACATATACCATCCATGAGAACACAGATATCTGTTCTACTCCCAGGCTTGGCGTCAGGCCTGGTAGACGGGGACCACCCTCTTGATGGCCTGCCGGCATATGGGGCAGGTGGGCTGCGGCAAGGCCTGGTAGCAGCTGTAGCAGCAGCACACGTGCCCACAGTCCAGCAGCACACAGCTACGCGGCTGGGTCAGGCAGATCACACAGGCGTTCTCCAGGGGTGTCACCTGCTCCCCAGCCCCCTCTTGTGTAGCCCCAGACGTAGACCCTGCCCCAATCCCCCCAGCACCCAACCTCTCAAACTCCCTCCTCAGCCGTTCCTGGTCCCAGCGGACTCTCAGGCTGCGGTAGTAGCGGCGGCCCACCCAGAAGAGGACGGCGGCCCCTGCCAGGGCGAACACAGAGGCCAGGACCTGCCAGACCACCGCCTGGCCCTCCTGCTCCAGCCGCAGGGACTCAAAGTCTGCCGAGCTGAGGAAGTACTCTGAGCCGTCAGTGGGCGGGCGGAGCTTCAGCACCCGGTCCGTGTCCAAGATGAGCTCGCCTACACCAGTCAGAGTTGCGCCAACCTTGAGCATCTCCTCAGTCTCAGCTGGCCTTTGGGCTTCTCTCCACTGAGGTACTGTCCGATGATGTCAGTAAAACCGTAGCTGGCCTGGTGGAACTTCTCATGGATGATCTCCATCTCCAGCCCCGAGGCCTCCAGGGGACACAGCACCCTCACGTTGGCCTGGTCTGACCCCACCAGGCTGAAGGGCACCGCGTTCACCCTCTGGTGCAGCACACGCTCACTGTCCGTCCAGGTGTTAGACAGGCTGTTCCACACCAGCTTGTGTTCCCTCAGCATGAGTTTCTGCACCACCCCCACACTGCCCCCCTGGAACAGACTCCTCAGAGGCTCCCCCAGAGGCTGCACTGCCCCTTCAATGACAACATACTGCAGACACTTTCCCGGCGTCGCATTCAAAAGGTCTGCCAGTTTCCGATCCAAAGTCAACTGTGGTGCATCATTGAGCTTGTCCACCGTCTTCCTCTTTTTCCTGTAGATGTAGTAGAAGAGGCCTGACATAGCCAAGCTGGTGCCTAGACACAGCCCCTCCACCGTCCTCACTGGAAACTCCTCCATCCCCCCCAACACACACTCCACACTGTCTCACCTCCCTGGTAACAGGCCTTTGAAAAAACTCAAGTTGTCATCCCCGGAAGAATGGGCTATTTTCGTTTTGTGTAACTCCCCTCCATGTCCCTGACCACTACTTTGTATCCTTTTCTCTCTCGCTCTCCTCCAACACTACTCACTCTGCCCCTACACAGATGGTAATGCGCCGCCGCAACCTTCGCTCTCTCTCTCCCACTACTCTCTCCTCTTCCATCCTATCATCTCTTCCCTCTGCTCAATCCTTCTCCCTCCAATCTCCTGATTCTGCCTCCTCTCCTCCCTTTCTGCATCCTTTGACTCTCTGTGTCCCCTATCCTCCCGGCCGGCTCGGTCCTCCCCTCCAGCTCCGTGGCTTGATGACTCATTGCGAGCTCACAGAACAGAGCTCCGGGCAGCGGAGCGGAAATGGAAGAAAACTAAACTCCCTGCCGACCTGGCATCTTTTCACTCCCTCCTCTCTACATTTTCTTCATCTGTTTCTGCTGCTAAGGCCACTTTCTACCACTCTAAATTCCAAGCATCTGCCTCTAACCCTAGGAAGCTCTTTGCCACATTCTCCTCCCTGCTGAATCCCCCCCCCCCCCCCCCCCCCCCCCCCCCCCCCCTCTCTCTGTGGATGACTTCGTCAACCACTTTGAAAAGAAGGTTGACGACATCCGATCCTCGTTTGTTAAGTCTAATGACACTGCTGGTCCTGCTCACACTGCCCTACCCTATGCTTTGACTTCTTTCTCCCCTCTCTCTCCAGATAAAATCTTGCGACTTGTGACTGCAGGCCGCCCAACAACCTGCCCGCTTGACCCAATCCCCTCCTCTCTTCTCCAGACCATCTCCGGTGACCTTCTCCCCTACCTCACCTCGCTGATCAACTCATCCTTGACCGCTGGCTATGTCCCTTCCGTCTTCAAGAGAGCGAGAGTTGCACCCCTTCTCAAAAAACCAACACTCGATCCCACTGATGTCCACAACTACAGACCAGTATCCCTTCTTTCTTTTCTTTCCAAAACTATTGAGCGTGCCGTCTTTAGCCAACTCTCTTGCTATCTCTCTCAGAATGACCTTCTTGATCCAAACCAGTCAGGTTTCAGGACTGGTCATTCAACTGAGACTGCTCTTCTCTGTGTCACGGAGGCTCTCCGCACTGCTAAAGCTAACTCTCTCTCCTCTGCTCTTGTCCTTCTAGACCTGTCTGCTGCCTTTGATACTGTGAACCATCAGATCCTCCTCTCCACCCTCTCCGAGCTGGGCATCTCCGGCGCGGCTCACTCCTGGATTGCGTCCTACCTGACCGGTCGCTCCTACCAAGTGGCGTGGCGAGAAGCTGTCTCCGCACCACGTGCTCTCACCACTGGTGTCCCCCAGGGCTCAGTTCTAGGCCCTCTCCTATTCTCCCTATACACAAAGTCACTTGGCTCTGTCATATCCTCACATGGCCTCTCCTATCATTGCTACGCTGACGATACACAACTAATCTTCTCCTTTCCCCCTTCTGATAACCAGGTGGCGAATCGCATCTCTGCATGTCTGGCAGACATATCAGTATGGATGACGGATCACCACCTCAAGCTGAACCTTGGCAAGACAGAGCTGCTCTTCCTCCCGGGGAAGGACTGCCCGTTCCATGATCTCGCCATCACGGTTGACAACTCCGTTGTGTCCTCCTCCCAGAGTGCGAAGAGCCTTGGCGTGACCCTGGACAACACCCTGTCGTTCTCCGCTAACATCAAGGCGGTGACCCGATCCTGCAGGTTCATGCTCTACAACATTCGGAGAGTACGACCCTGCCTTACACAGGAAGCGGCACAGGTCCTAATCCAGGCACTTGTCATCTCCCGTCTGGATTACTGCAACTCGCTGTTGGCTGGGCTCCCTGCCTGTGCCATTAAACCCCTACAACTCATCCAGAATGCCGCAGCCCGTCTGGTGTTCAACCTTCCCAAGTTCTCTCACGTCACCCCGCTCCTCCGCACACTCCACTGGCTTCCAGTTGAAGCTCGCATCTGTTACAAGACCATGGTGCTTGCCTATGGAGCTGTGAGGAGAATGGCACCTCTGTACCTTCAGGCTCTGATCAGTCCCTACACCCAAACGAGGGCATTGCGTTCATCCACCTCTGGCCTGCTGGCTCCCCTTCCTCTGCGGAAGCATAGTTCCCGCTCAGCCCAGTCAAAACTGTTCGCTGCTCTGGCACCCCAATGGTGGAACAAGCTCCCTCACGACGCCAGGACAGCGGAGTCACTCACCACCTTCCGGAGACACTTGAAACCCCACCTCTTTAAGGAATACCTGGATAGGATAAAGTAATCCTTCTACCCCCCCCCCCCCCCCCCCCCCACCCCCCCACCCCTTTGTAAAAAAAAATTTGTAAAGTGGTTATCCCACTGGCTATAGGGTGAATGCACCAATTTGTAAGTCGCTCTGGATAAGAGCGTTTGCTAAATGTCGTAAATGTAAATGTAAATGGTGTAGAGCCTAACTGGCATACATAAGCAGCAAGTGAGTTTCAAGTTTGGGGAAGATCATTTTCACCATAAAAATGTACCTTAACCGCAATTGCCTCAATTTTGTTAAATTTTCAGCTAATGGAACATTTGTGTTTATAACCAACTGCCATGTGCGCATTGCTGCGCTTATAAAGTGAAGAAATAGCCTAATAGTTCATCAACATTTTAAGCTAAACGTTCTGATCTGTTGTGTCAACCACATTTACATTTACATTTTAGTCATTTAGCAGACGCTCTTATCCAGAGCGACTTACAGGAGCAATTAGGGTTAAGTGCCTTGCTCAAGGATACACAGATTTTCCACCTAGTCGGCTCGGGGATTAGAACCAGCGACCTTTCGGTTACTGGCACAACGCTCTTAACCACTAAGCTACCTGCCGCCACATTGCGTAAGAAAGTTTTTTTTTTAATGCTAATGGTTGTAGTAATTCCAGAACTGTCCCAGAAGATGTTTGGAATATTTATTTCTCACATAGAATAGAATGGGTCAACTTTTGGACTATGGGGGATAGTAGATTGACATACGCTAGTGCTTTTGCTGTTCGTTAGGCCTACTCTGTTAGGCCTACTGCTGCTAGGTAGCTCTCTCTCTGCTCTCTCCCTCCCCTCTGTCTGTCCTTGATTGCAGGAGTGAAGTCTGGTGTGCGGGAGTCAGGGTTCCAGCTGCAGCTCATTCACCATAATCACCTCAGCCTTTAAGACCCGGTCAAACTTGCCATCGTCAGATCATAGTCAAGACTACCATGTTAGTTTCGCTGTTGACTCAACCTGCTTGTTTTCGCCCTTTGTGTTTTTGGCCTGTTCTAGTTACTTTTCTCCTGTGCCACAGATTATTGGAACCTGACTCCTGCCTCCGCTTCACTCCTGCCACCACCATCCTGCTTACCACTACCGGACCTTCCTTTTGGACTCACCACGGACACTAGGACGTTACGGTACCACTCCTGCTCTGAACCTGGATCTGTTACCCTCCCTGTTAACCTGGACTTGCTCTTCCCCTATTATTGGAAACCTGGACAAATTGAACTTTTGTAAATAAACCTGTTAAACCTTCTCTGGCTCGGTGTAGTTGTCTGCATTTGGGTTCATATCTAGTTAAATCGTGACATACTCATCTTGTTGGCTGACAAAGTAATTTCTTCCAATATCTTCAATATGCAATTGGATAGGGACACGCGCAGTTGCGTCCTCGATGTGTCAGCCGGTGAGAAAGACCCGATCGCATGATGGTGAGCCATCTGAGTGAGAGGTGCTTCGGAGCACGCCGCGCTCAGGGAGAAGGGAATTATAATTATTATATTTAGCCCAAGGGCACAACGGCCACTGGCCGCAAAAGGCATGGATTTTTTTAGGGGGCATTACCGCCACACAAAGGGATGCGGTCGGTAAATTCGAGGCATTATCAAGTGCTTGTCAAATTGTGAATGAGAGCAGTGGCGGCTCCTGAAAAAATTCTCAGGAGGGGCAATTTTTCTGATGATTTAGGTGACCTACACACATTTTAAAAAAGATATGTCCAGCAACAACATGAAGACAGGGGCAGCATATAAGTCAATACCAGAAGCATTTATTGACTGATCTGGGGAGATGGATTCCAGTTTCTGTGACAGATTATAAATAATCTCTGATGCCTTTGTTATATTAGCTTTTGGTTGAATGTACTGTCGTAGTAAATATATAATGTTATAGCTTGGTCTGACTAAAATCTTGTGCATGACCCATTTTGTGTTGGGCGTTTGTTTTCAATCAATGCTGTTCCTATCCTATAACAATGGACAAAAGAGTCCTATCTTGTCAGCCTTGTCAGCAGGTGGCCAAGGACAACACCCACGCCATAGGTCTCTCAGTTCTTCCAACTCACGAGTTCTTGCTCTGAGGACACACACACACACACACACACACACACACATCATCACTGATAACACACACACACACACACATCATCACTGTTAAACACACACACACACACAAAAATCCCCTCTCTTTAGGCTGAACATTTGAAGACAGAGAACCCGACTCAGAGCCAATGCAACAGTGGAGGGGACCTCGCCCAACTCATCAGGACCAATCAGAAGATCAGAACTACTAGATTCAACCTACATCATTTATTGTATAAAATGTCTGCACACAATGTTTTCGGGGCTCTCTTCAGATAGCTCCCTAAGAGTTTGACGAACGAGTCCGTGCACGCGATTCCAGATATCTTTACCTCTGAATAAACTGCCTTTATTATACCATATCCACCCTGTCCAAAGTCTCTACTTGGTCTCAGTTCTCCAGTAAACTTGTGATTATCAACAGTACACAACGGTAACAAACAATTGGGGGAACTCACGGGGCAGATAGTAAGGTCGCAGTGACACAGAAAGCAGTTCAATGTCGGGGGTACAGAGTCGCTCTCTTACCAGGATCGATTTTCCCTGTGACTGTCAGATCGCGGTCCGCTCTGACCAGGGTGAAGCC